AATTCATTATTTCAGTGTTTCCTGTTCTCTGAACATTCTTCTTGGCATTTTTCTAGCGGATATATTTTACCTTCAGTTGTGTTTTATTAATAGTGACATTCTATTAAATTCTCATAACGTATTTGAAGCTATACTGTATTATGTACTTAATACCTTTATTGTCCACTTCAATGTCGACTTTTAATTTTTGCTATTCCTTTATTATATTTTCAAACTATTTAAGTTTGAGTGTGTTCGTTGTTACAACAAGAAAATTAAGCATGGACGACATTTAACAAAATGGTAAATGTAACACACAAAATATCCTAAATATAATATATTGTATGACCTTAATAAGTAAATATTCTCTGATAATTTATTTTATTTGGGTTTTAACTTTGCCCACTCAATAAATAAATCATGTAAATAATCTATAATACTTATTCATAAATGCAGCTAAATGACTAATGAAATTTTTGTGTACGTAAATGAGAGTCTATACTGTAGCATTAGTAGCATTTAAGCTGCTTAAACAAGCAACGACGACACTCTCTACTTGTATATCTATAGGTAGAGCCTTGTCACATGCGTCATAAATCATGTTCCAATTAGAGCATCCAGGTAAGCTTCAGAAATGGAGGACCGTTATAACATCATTTGAAGAGAAGGATGATAACGTATTGATAGTCTTGTAACAAGAGATTAAAGACGATTGTAATAAAACGACAAAAAAAAATACCGTATATTTTTAAATTTACCAACTAATATTATAAAACAGTATAATTATTATAAAAACATAGACAATAAAAATATATACTATACAATAGTTTGCAACACTTGGTGAATAGTGGTATACCTACGATGGCGGGAATCTGTATAAGATCACAGGCAGAGGAAGAAATCAGATTAGTTAGACAACAATGGCGACATTAAGGTATATTATAACCTATAAATTATGTATATCTAGCCGTATATATATAAAATATTATGATATAAATCTGGGATCTGTACAAACTTTCATCTGCTATTTCAAATCCTCTCCTATACCTACATATTTTTAGATAAAAAATAGCCTATGTCCGTCCTTGTAATACTATCTAGTCATGATAAATAAATAAAACCTGTTTACCTACGTCGTAAATTGTCAACAAACAGATGGATAGACAGATACACTTCGCATTTATAATATTAAATATAAATTAATGCGATATGCTCAAGTGGCCAATGAATAAATGCTTTTGAGTTTATTCAAATTATATAATAATTAACGGTAGAACAGTTTTGTGGTCCATGAAACCGACCATATTTTGGCATAGTAATAATGCAAATGTGATGAAGTTTCAAATTATACCGTAATCTCGCCAAATAACTGCGAAATAGGGATAAACTTCTGTGTAGGTACATACCTACCACAAGTTAGACAAAGTTCTCGCTGGGTTCGCTTTCTGTCTGTGTGTTTTGGTTGAAATACAAATATTGACCGTAAAATATCTACAAAGTTTTATAAATTTCCTCTGTATATAACTACAGACTACATATATGTACAACTACATACATACATAATGTGTACCTACGTGGTTGACCGTTAAAATTTCATAATGTTAGGTAACGAAATGTAACTTTGCAGTCGGATAGTTGGCATTAGACATATATTTATATTATAAAAAAATATAAATATATATGTCTCATGTCAACTATCGGAAATATATTGATATTACATGCATAATAAATATATTATTAAGTACTATTGTGCTCGCGGTTTGCAAATTTCAATAACAAATATAGCCTATGTGTTATTATGAGCCATAAGTACTAATGCTGAAAAGTTTTACCAAAATCCGTTCAGTAGTTTTCGCGTGAAAGAGTAACATATATCCATACTTACAAACTTTCGGCATTTATAATAATAATTAATAATACGATATAATACAACACAAACATAATACTCTATGTATTATGTTTGTGTGGTATTATATATAAAATAACCATATATCCACCACTGCGTCTAGTATACCATTCGCGATACAACTTTTGCTCCACTTTCGCAGATAGACCGATCAACAGCATAAAAAACTATATACCTGCAGGCACATTGTAAAACAATGTAGTTTACCAAATATTATTTTACTAGACTTTAAAAAATAAATATCATAGAAAAGAAATAATCTGCTGATAGACTACCAACTGGAAAATCTGAAACGTGTATGTTAATTGCAGTCCTGTTTCTATTAAAATCGAACGGATTTAACTTCAATTAGATAAAAAATATCTATATGAATTGGCGATGCTCTGAAGTCCTTGTTTGTCATCTGAAAATATCTGTATCATTGAACTGTTGCAAGCCTAATCAAATCAAATCAAATATAATCATTTATTTATGTAGGACATTTTAGACGCTTATGATCGTCAAGTTATATGTGGAGGATCTGCAGCATATTTGGAATACTAGTTTGATTTTTGAGAATAAATTGAAAGAGGAACAGAGAAGCAGGGTAAGTAAAAAATACATTTAATTATTGTCAAAGTATTTATACAATGCCACTTCATGTTGGCAATTCTTTTGAATAGTATCGTATTAGGTAATAATCAAAATATTTTGTAATGTTTCTTTCATGAATGATGGCCGTTATATCCGCACCATGGTATGCATAGGAAGTTGTATGAACAGGCCTAATCAAAAAGTTTAATGAAATAACCATCAAACTTGCCTCAGACGCTTAACCGACCACATTGAATTGCGCCAAATTGAAGTACCTAACTTTGATATGACCTACAAAAACTTGTCTAACTTCTGCATCGTGTTTTGTAATAGATTTTCTTTGGTGTTAATGAAAGAGCTTATAAGGTCTTAAGGACAGGATAATGAAAACTTTGAAAATTCCATGTAATTTACGTTGCGAACAATTTTCTACGCAATTTAGTTATCAAGGTACATAAACCGATTTTATAATAATTATTATTATTTATTCAGTATACCACTGTACTGTGTGAAAAATATAAAAGAACTTAAAAACTAATGCTGCACTAAAAGCTGAAAGAACTTCCAGTCAGCTGGTGCAACCTTTAATTTCAGCGCTGATTCAAAATTTAATTATTCTTGAAAAATTATGTTTATTTGAAAAATAGGTACTGTACATTATTCTGAATACCTTTACATGGGCACCGTTTACTATCGCACTGTTTGCCATCGATAAAGAATTTATTCCCATATACTGGAACCTAAGTGATACTACTCGGACAGTACTATTTCAGAGGAGCTTCGTCCCGCGTACCTACACTTACATAAATCTTGGAATGAACTACCTGCCGAGGTTTTATCCAGAGACTGCAGCTTGGAGTTTTTCGAGAAGGGTATTGCATTAACTGAAGAGTCTTGTGTAGCTGTGTAAAACTGAAAAATATATATTTCATAATAATTATATTTGTAGTATTGTACCTACAATGACCTACATACATTAGCGAACTCGCGAGACTAGTCCATGGTATAATAGTATAATAGTTACTATGATAATTCAAATATTAATTTTAGTTTATATAAGTATATATACCTACTAGTAATATAACTTTAGGTATAATAATAATAAGTGTAATTCATTATTTATTATATTATGTATTTGTAATTGCATAAAGTAAAGTAAGTATATATATAAATGATTCAGATTCAAATGCTACATTCAGCTATTGCATTCATTCTTTTTTCTCAATAATGAGAATAACAAAAGCACATTAGCCAGTAATCTTTTGTACAGGCACTTATCCCAAAAAATCCGATGGTCCAATCTGGGTCATTCAATTAAGTAATCTTATTGACGTAGTAAGCCGTCAGTCTACTAGCGGCCGCCTTTTAAAGGATCTTGGCCTATTCATGCCTTTTTGTTTAATGTATCCAACGAAATCCCATAGTGCTTTTATTTATACTTATTCATAGTTTTCAACTTGTTCATGGCTTAAAACACAAAAAATACATATGATAAGAGTCTTGTATGAATTTACATACATGATTGTAACTTCATTCATATTACCAGAACATTACCTACATAATGAAGACGCCAAACGCATTGTTTATTTTTTTATTAAGTACAGAGTTGGTAAAAACCGCACCCCAATCAGTTTAGCCGTTTCTAAGATTACCGCGCACAAATACACAGATAATGGTTCTAATACCTACGGTAATAAAGTATTCTTGAGAATACTCAAGAATAACAATATTTCTCATATATCTTCCATGTAGGTACAGCGATCAGTTATTTTTATTATATTTTTATTACCTATACGTAAATCTGAACAATAAAAAGTAGTCGTAGTATTATAAAGCCGATAGTAATGTCCTTTGCCTTAGCGAGTAGCAATTTTCTAATAGTGTTAACGGATCCGTAGTTCCTCGCTTAGGAAATGAAAGAGAACGGTGCTCGATTAATTGATTTCCAATATTGCATTGCAACGTACAAGTGACATAATTTGGCCAATTTGCTTCAGAATAGTAGGTAACTAATAGTAATTAGCATCACGGAAAGAAGAGTACTGAAAATAATACGTTGATACACAGTCATATTCACATATACTTAAAGGTATATAAATATTTCTATGATTTGTGAGGGTATATCTATAAATTAGAAACTCTTTCGTTGACTTTCGATTTAAGAGTCCCTAAACAAAAACAATTTGAAAATACAGAAAAAAAACATATACGCCTAGAAGTGAACTGCCTTTTTCTCTTTTTAGAATCGGATGCGAATAAATAAAAAAACGAGCTAGTTCTCAAGAGAGTTGCAGTTTAAATTGGACAATCCCTGTTCCGATTTATACGCGAAACTAATAATATAGCTAGGAAAATATAATAGGTACAGTTTTGAGTGATTTATTTAACTTAAGAATTAATACATTTTAATTAAATAACAATATTGATAACGTTTTCCCGATATTTTAAATATTGAATCTGGCTACACTTGTCGAAACTTCAGTTGAATAGCTCGAAAATTACGTCTATTCTACCCAAAGAGTAAAGTACATATACCAAAAGGATTCTACCCAAAGCCTTAAAACAAATAAAAAATATTCACTTCATTTCAATTTCTTATTTTTTAGTGTAGTGATTTGTTAGTTCTTCATATTTTAGCGATTCACATATCTTTAATTCAACATACTTATTAATAATGTCTGTTTTTGTGAAACACCTAGTGCGCAAAGTGAGTGTCATATTACCAAATAAATAATTTAATGTCTATAACCTCTCAGATACCTACATAAACATTTTAATTACTAAAACTTCATATTTTTTTATTATTTGTGACTTCAGGTACTGTCGCCTGCGCTTTCAACTGCATCGAAGACAAATTTTTCTACAAGTAAATACTTATTGGTTTTACTTTAGCTTATTGTTTTATTACATAACCTCTTGACATTCGGCTTTTTACTATCACAAAAATACTATGGTGTTCCATATAATGAACGAACCTTCTTCATCTTTTTTTACACACCTACAATTTAATTGGGCGCCTATATTTAATATCAAGTATTATATTGTGGATGATGAAATATATCATTGTCTTACTGAAGAACAAATGAAACGAGAAGCTACATATATTTTTGCAATAGATTGTAATGTTGTCAATAAAGACTTTATAATTTAAACCATTAAACATTTCATTTCAGCCAGTGCTGCCTTTGTACCAAGGGTACAAAAACCTGCACCAGACTTTGCTGCAACTGCTGTAGTAAATGGAGAATTTAATCAGCTTAAATTGTCTGATTTTTCTGGAAAATATGTTGTACTATTCTTCTACCCATTAGATTTGTAAGTGGACATAGTTAATTATTTCTTTTTATATATTTTATGAAAATGAATGAAGCAAATAACTGTAATCCTAAATGGGACACACTTCAAGAAAAATATTAGCTTCATTCTACTGTCTTCAATTAATGTATATACTTTATTTTAATATGGAATATCAATGTTGTTAAATAATGAATAATGTAATAAAATACATCATCAATTACTCGAGAATCAATTATGTTATCAACACAACAAATTCATTACTATTTGGATTTTTTATGTAAAAATTAAATCTTTTTAATTATTACATAAAAAATCCAAGTATATAATATAATATATAATAAATAGAATATTAATTGACAATTTTTTGCCATTTCAGTACATTTGTTTGCCCAACAGAGCTGATAGCATTCAGTGATAGGGCCAAAGACTTTGCCAATATTGATTGTCAGGTCATTGGTGTCTCTACGGACTCAGAGTTCAGTCATTTAGCCTGGATTAATACACCACGAAAAGTAAGTTTACATTTCTTCTTAAGTCATGACAAACTTTTAAATAATAATTAATTATTTGTTGATTGATGGTTTACTAAACATTTATTATCTAAAGAATGGTGTAAATATTTGTTGTCACATTTTTCTTCTCATACTGATATTCTATTTTCATAAAGCCTACCCTATTGCAACCCAGTGCCATTATTTCACATTCATAATTCATCTAATATATGTACTGGATATGAAATTTAAAATAACAGTTTCTAATTGCATGTATCTAATCTTACGCTGTAGTAACATAAATTTGGCAACTGTTAACTGAAGCAACTATCACCTGTGCCATGCTACATCGCTTAGTATAAACTAATTCAATATTGTAATGCCCTTAAATGTATAATTTATTATTTACAGGATGGTGGTTTAGGTAAACTAGACTTTCCATTACTGGCTGATTATAATAAGACAATATCCCAGGATTATGATGTCCTACTTGATGGTGGTTTTGCACTCCGTGGTGAGTATATCCATAATTCCATACTGATATTCTATAAACAGAGGGTGAGAAAAATATGTTGTAATATCCTGTAAAAGGAGTAAAGTCAATGGTTATAGTAGTTGAACTCACCATCTTACTTTCAATGCTATTTTGGCTTGATAAAAACTGTTGTAATCAGTTAACGCTAAATTATGAAATTATTATATTTCATAATTTAGCTATATAAATTAATCACCTGTGTTTAGGAATGTCAGCTCTGACACCCTTGGTACAAAATGCTCTATTTCATTATGTTTTAAATATATACTCTGTTTAAACATCTAGTCACATAACACTCCCACTATCTATGATTAGTGTATGTTATTATTATAGAGTAACAAATATATTTTTCCAGGTCTATTCATCATAGACAGAAATGGTATACTGAGACACTTATCGATTAATGATTTGCCTGTAGGCAGATCAGTAGATGAAACTCTCAGGCTAGTAAAAGCCTTCCAGTTTGCTGATAAACATGGTGAAGGTATGCTTATTAAAAATCAATATTATGTACTATAATTAATACAATATATTGGTAATTGTTACTATATGCATAACATGATGAAAATATTCTGTTTGTCTTATATATCTGCATAGTAATATTATAAATTAAAAGGTGTGTATGTTTATTATATTTTAAGACTTAATGGCTGAATAGATATTAATAAAATTTTATATGAAAATAGATTGTAGATAGGATATATGCTGCATGTAATCTCTCAATATTATTTGTGTGGAGGAAAAAGTATAAGATGAACTTTTGCATATGAAATAACAGCTGTTATACATTAAATCAAGATATTTATCTTAAAAATCACTACCATGTGTATAAAAATATAAATTAATATAAAAAGATTTTATTTACAGTTCTGGATAGATCTTAGCTTGATTTTACATTCTGATCTGTATTTTTTTAGTCTGTCATTTTCTCATTTCACTTGTGTTGTTATGTTTTTTGGTTGTTTGGTTATTGTATACAATTTTAATCTTATTCTGAGATTCTTTACTTATAGGCATATTATTTAATATATAAAAAATATACACTGTAGTTTGAGTTTGTATTTAAAATTAACAATTATTATGTTTAACAGAAACAGTGCATAAACCAAATGGGTCATTTGTAATTGTAAACGATACAGAATTGTAAATGGAGACATAAATTTGTCCAAGACTTAACCTCCGTAAGATTGTGCTGTTTAATCATAGTTACTTAATTTTTGCATACTTTTTATTAATTTTATTTTTTATACTTAGATTAGAAATAGATTTTTATTTATATTTACTTATATCAAATTTATTCTTTTTCAGTTTGTCCTGCCAACTGGAATCCAGACACAAATGCTGACACCATAAAACCAAGTCCAAAGGAAAGCAAGGAATATTTCAAAAAAGCTAATTGAATATTAGAATGCAATAATAAGTGGCTACTTTAAATTACTCTGGTAAGTAATAATGAATATGTACATCAGTTTATTTGATATTGTTATTGAATTAAATAATGGTAATTCAATATAATATTATGTTGTGTAACCAGTAACACTTAATGTAGAAACGGAGGTCATATGATAGTTAAAAATCTGATATTAGTTTTATAATATATAGAATCTATTATTTTATTTTAATGTAGATATCACAAAAATCAGTCATTTTGTAGTTGGGACTCCATTATTAGTATTTTTGTGATAGCTAAATTCAGTTGCTGAATTGTTTGAAGGTTCCAGGTTTATGTTGTTGATATATATGGATTACAATTAGTACTATTTATTGCTACTTAATCACTATATTTTATCAACAAAGTATAATCTCTATTGATATGTATCAAGCAGTTACTCTATGAAATCACATATTTTTTACAAATATTCACAAAACAATTGTTAATAATAATAAATAAATAGTTTGCAATTAAATGATTTGCGTTAATAATGTAATCTAGTCCATTAATCTGACGGTTGTAAGGAAAAAATATTAAAAATATATATATACTTAACGTTTATGTGACTAAAATGTCGTACAGGATCGATTTTTAATTTCACTTAATATTCCACCCTCAATTAACATTACACTGGGCTATAGTTACAAAGCAAATATTATTATTTATGTAAAGCATGGTTTTTAAATCCCTAAACCTATCTTCCATGTCAAGGCCTGTATAACCCACAGTATACTTTTTTGTAGGTTTTGAATCCTTTCATATACTCCGAATGTTATTGAATATTGTATTTATTGTATAAAACTATATAAAAGCATTTATAAATAAGTGGTATGGGTAAGTAAGTACTGATTGTTGTAATTCTCACCTTTATTTTCTGTTAGTTAATAAAAAACTCAAATTAATTTTCAAGTGTTTTATTTAATTCTCCTTTCAATACATAGACTACATATTTAACTAATATTTTGATTATTTAATTCTAATAGTATAGCAGAAACTACTATCTATAAACTACTAATAAGATTGTAACATTGCTAACTAACCACTTTACCAAGTGGATCAAAATTCAAAATAGTATATATGGTAGAATTACATTTAGAATAATCACTACCTCTAAAGTGATTAAAGAATTGTTTAAATTGGTACAGAATTATTTTTGAGATTACACCCCATAACGCGCTAATAATAACATTTCTACTACAACTATAGATATTACATTTGAACACAATACTCATTTAACACTATCTGACCTACAAGTATTCTACAGTTATACATGTATTAATCAGAAACATTAATTTACAAGAAAACTGGCATATATTTATAATTATCTTCCATGGTGTATTAAGGCCATGAGTTCTACCTGTATTACCTGTGAGTATTAAGCCATTATTATAGAAGCTAATACTATTAGACTATGTAAGCAACTGGTTCATTAGTTCCAGAGACAATAAACACTTAATGTAGAACATATCTTTTAAATATCTTTGATTCAATAAGGTTTTCTATACATAATAGAATTTACCTATTATTACATAAAATCGATAACAATTACACAGATCATTTCCAATTATTAATATATTTTCTGATGGTTAGAATAATACATTTACTTATTCAAGTAAGTGATAGAAGCATTACAATTACTATGGTTACACATAATTTATATGTATACATTTACTGCTAAGCACTATTTTTATTGTAAGTGTTCCAGTATTCAATATCCAGTAAACTATTTAGTTAGCCCATATGTAATGCATATGGTATAACTAAATAGTTTGTTTACATCTATATTTTTGAGAAACATTGAATAATTCTCATATATTCCTAATATGTATAATAACAAGAGTTTATATTACATTGATATAATACCTAGCTAGGATCTGAAATATCTATGATAGATATTTATAGACTCTTAAAATAGATAAAGGATAACCCATATATGCATGACTTTATATCATTTATATGTGTTCATTGTTCATGTTTGTCACAATGGTTCAAATGCAATTTGTAACTTTTCAACTATTACAAGCCTTTGCTTGAACAGTCGAAGTTCTGATGTTATAATGGGTCATCATCAGAATCCAGTTCCTCAGAAGAATCATCAGATGAATCGCTGCTGGAGTCTGATGAATCACTGCTGGAATCCGATGAATCACTACTTGAATCAGAATCGGAGTCAGTCTGTTCGATTATCCTATTCCTCTTTGGTAATAAAGACATTGATGCAAGCTGTAATGCCATCTGATTCTCCATTATTTCCAGTTCATCCTGCTGGACCAATCTTCCTGCCATTTCAAATTCTTCCAAGTCCAAATTTAAATCAGTTTTTGCAATTTCTGTATTGGCTATATTATTACATAATTCATCAATTTCATCAGTATGACATTTCTGGAGGAATATTAGGTAGTCTTGTATATATAATTGATTTAATATGTATCGAGCATCATTGCTTGTAGTAAACATTTTATAAATTTCAATAACACATTTAATCACAAATTTCTTGCCTTTCCTAAACAATGTTACTACATCATTCTTCACTTTTTCACATAGTTCAAAGTTGCGAAATATAGGATAAATTAGTGCTCTCCGGTAACATGATATCAAGGTCTCCTGTACATTGTTGAATGCACAAAACCAACTTAATGTTGAAGATAACTTATTTATGGTCCAACTTGATTCAACAGTGCTTTCATTTAATGTTGTCCGTTTATCATAGCAGTAGCCATAAAGAATGTCAATTAGACCATATAGTACTTGTTTATATTCATTTTTACTTAACAAATAATTTTTATTGGGCAACTCTTTCAACACACCGACCTCAGCATCAGTGAATTCTATACTGTTAATATCTAAATTAGTCCAATTAGGTGATGAGGATAAATATGGTGCAATGAGTTCCTCATCAAAGTAATCAGCTAAGTAGTGATCCGATGAGAACTTCCTATCTTCATAGTCAATTCTAATTTTATTCCGTTCTGCAATTGAAACTCTTTCAGGATACCGCAACTCAAATATCTGAGGAAATTCTGTACCTATGTCTTGAAACTCTGTAGTGACTTTATTTGCAAAACCATAGCTATATTTGTCACCACTATCACTGTCGTCGCTGTTGTCAAAAGTTATCCCATTATCGTCAAGCATTTCTACCAAATCGGGATTGACAGATGGTATATCACGAGGTGCAATAAGACATGTTATCATGTCCAAGTTTTCAAAATACTCTCCAGGAACTTCCTTATCAAAGGTTAGATTGAAATCGCCAGAATCACAGGTATAGGTCCCTACCGAGTTATCCGACTGATCCACGATCTTGCCTGGAAGCTGGAGCCGGAGGAAGTACGGACTGGAGAGAAAGAGGAAATTATCACCATCTACATCGATCTCGGTATCTCTAACATTTGTATACGGTGCATGCACACATATGAAGACATGGTTGTCGTCTTGACTTAATTTGAAACGTGGAGTTAGCATCTTGAATAAGATATCTATCACACAGCTGCTTTAGAAGGACTACGGAAAATCGACTCTAACATGTATTGATCACTACCCTACCAATGAATTTAAATCTCACTTCCAAATACTTTAATTCAAACTTGATTGTATTAAAAGTGTAACAATAATAACCAATCTAAAGCATGAATCTGTATATTGAATCAACATGGCAAAAGAACATGGTAATATTAATTTATTTCAATTCAATCGAACTGGATGGATAATGATATATCTATGAATTTCATATATTTTTTTATAGAGGTAATAAGATTTGAAACCATAGATAAATATACTTAGAATATTGACGTTTGGGCACAGAACAGCAATATTTATTTTTTTTATTAAGTATTTAGAACAGCAATATTCCCGTTAGGGTGGCCAAACTTAAAAAAGTACCTCTGATAATTTTTTTTATAGAAAATTGACTAAAATTTTCGTTTTAACATTAAACTTTAATTAGTTCAGTGAATTATTGTAAGCATAATTATTTGGTATTATAATATAAGATTTTTAGAAAAAGCTTATTTTTTATCCAAAATCATTATTGTTTTTTTTCATAGTTTAATAGTTTCATACGCATAAAAACTTCAAGTCTGAGTACCGATTATACTATTTCTTGTCGTTTATGGTGTTCTCCTTAGTGAGCTCAATAACAATTTTTAGCGTTTATGATGGCCACTACAATCTGTATTGTGTGTTCAGTATTATAGTGTCTTCCTTTCTAAGAACCGATTATTTATTTATATATTATTATTTAGGTTATTGTAAGAATATTTATAGATGCGGTTCAGTACTATATATAAAGCAATTTTAAAATAGCAGTAAAAAAAGAAATTCGGTTCGTAAGTTTGTTGATTATGAGAAAGAGTTACCAAGCAAGGATGTTTTCATGTGCAGTCAGTAGATTCGCCACACATTGTTGGCAGCACTGTAGTCCTTCATGCATTTTGAAGTCGGAAACACTCATCGCAGCTTTTTTAAAACGCTGAGAAAGTGGAGAAATTTGCTGAAAAACGTCAATAAAACTTAAAAATTATTTGATTTTGAGAGGAGCAGTAGAAGCTTTGCGTTATAACTTCGAAATCGTGTGCGTTTACTAATAATGTAAATTGGTAAACCCGAAAAACCGATTGTGTAGATATGTCGTTAATTGATGTAGAACAGTTTATAAATGAAATAAAGTCGAGACCATTGTTATATAGTACTAATGCTGTATCGACGGACCCTAGAATTAGGCATGAAAGGCAAGAGTTATGGCTACAAGTATGTGCCAAACTTATATCAGGTTGGGACACGATCGATGAAAGAGAAAAATATGCTACGAGTAAGTGTTGCCCTGTGATATTTTTAATATGTCCACAATTTCAAGATTAAAATATTGTACAATTAATGTAAGAGTAATATATCTGATAGTGCAAAACTAATGAAAAACGCAGTATTCATACATAGATAGTAGTATTAGTTACTACAGTACTGTTATATTACTGGTTACTTTTAATACAAATGACTACTACAATTTTTAAGCTACAACTGTAGTCTATCCTTTCTTTTTGTAGGTAGTTAAAATTTTAGACATGCATAAGATGTTAGTTGAGGTGGGGGGAGGGGTGTTTGTATTGGACACTAGTGGTCTCATCACCATACTTTTCCTACTTGTAATATACCATATCAGGTCCACATCCATCCAGTCCCCCATGGGATTTTGATTTTTTGCTCATATCAGCATCCTCTACTGGTGGAAATGATAATTATTAAAAGGAGGTAGTAATGTCCTATTTGTAAAATGTACTTTAATAATAATTATTGTATTATTTTGAATTGTGATTTTATATTTGAATTTATTTTAACTTCAATATTAGTAATTATGTCACTATAATACATTTACCAGATACCTCCTTTAACAAGATAACTACAGTAATTACAAATAAACAACACTGGACTTCAGCACAGGTGATATATGTACTTATTTTGTACTCTCTCTATTTACATAATTTGCAACAATACTAATAACTGGGTAATGTACTTTAAGCTTAGATACTAACCTTAAGACTTTAATTATAATGAATTAATTATATTATTTTTAAAATGTTTATACTTAAAATAACTAGAGCAGTATTTAAAAACACAAAATATTTATTTATAAGCTAATGGATTGGTACACCTGCCTGAGCTAACAGTATTTAGAAGTTTTATAAATATTTGTTATAGGTAAGGAAATGCAACACAAATGGAGGCATATCCGAGATAATTATCGAAGAGAATTACAAATACAGAACAAAGTAAAACGTGGCTTACTTAAACGGACTAGGAAAACTTACAGGTATTACACACAACTGCAATTTCTTAATCCTTCTAATACCTGCACAGGTAGTGTAACGTCTGGTGATAGAGCATCACAACAAGAGTCAGATGAGGACGAAACAGACAGTACTCTAAGTACAAGAATGAAGATCTTATTACGCCATAAACGCCGTAAGAAAAGTAAGAAAATACAAATCATGGAAAGGTCTACGAAAAGTATAACAACATCTGTAGAAAACAATGCTCAAGACTTAGTATCAGATCATAATAAAAATGACCATGAACAACAAGAATGTGATGAAGACAGAACTTTTTGCTTATCATTAGTAAAATCTTTCAAGAAAATGAATGAAGAAGCAAAACTAAGTGCAAAGATTGATATTTTGAATGTTATCCGTCGCTTCTCATATCCTCAAAGTAATTTTCAACAAGTTTATACTGATCCTTTGACATATGATTCACCGAGGCAATCACAAGATTCAATTTTAAACAATCAATGGCAAGTAGAGAGTTCTCTTGAAGATTCTGAAGATGAATTACCTCTTGATCTGCATTCTATGCATAGAGAGAAAAGAAGTGGTCGATATGTAAGATCAGTAACACCTGATTCTGCAGCTAGTTGTTCAGCATTTGACATCAGCCCAACAAATTTCCTTTCATTTTCCCATTGTCTAAAATGACCCAGCCCAACTATTACCAACTCAGAAGACCGCGACTTTTGAACGGGTTCAGCAAACAGTACCATATTATTATACTTATTACTAGCTGACCCGGCAATCGTTGTTTTGTCATCTAAATTAAACTTACTATTAAAAAATAGGGGTTGGTAATAGAAGGATGAAAATTTAGGGTTGTATGAATTTTTTAATGCCACATTATAAAAAATTAAATACTTATCACTTAGGGGTATGAAAAATAGATAATAGCTGATTCTCAGACCTACTGAATATGCATATAAAATTCATAAAAATCTGTTAATAAGTTTAGGGCATTTGTTAACTTACATTGTGACACGAAAATTTTATATATATCAAGTCTATAGTAAGTAAATATCTAGTCAATGTCACTATTCGAGAGCATGGTTATTCTTCTAAGAAAAATATTTCTCTTAAAATCCTTCTAAATTAAAAACATAGTAGAAACATCAATATACATACCATTATGTGGTATAATATAGTTCATTTTCCCTGTTAGTGTTTGCGCCAAGTATTTTTTAAGTGGATAATGAATGATGCAGGAATGGTGCTCTCGTTTAAGCTGACAAGTCTATATTGTCAGTCCCTCGACCACATACGTGGCCTGAAAAGGCGTAGGTTACTGGAACCCGATGACTAATCAGGATCACCTAAAGAGACACACTGTAGCGTTAGGTATATTTGATGTGATGAGGTGTCGCACCATAATATATTGTTTATTGTAGTATGTAGGTAGTGAGTGTACCGGTGAAATAATACTATTTATTGTACATTAGACATTTAGTAAGTTTATTAGGTAGTGTGCTACATGGCTTATTAGTAACGCCGTAATTCGGACAGACTTTAAATCAACTCCAAATCTATGTTATCTTGAGAGGTAGACTAATGGGATTGTGCGGAATGTTGACTGAAACATTACAAGACGCTGATTCTGATGGGAATCACACTACCTGCTACGTAACTTTTACCACATCTATACATAGTCTTCGTTGGACACAAAAAAAAAATGTCGTATATATATGCTGGCCTGTCCAAACATACTTAATAAAGTCAAGTCAGGTGGCAAATTCAGCATCGTGGGAATTCGCTAGTAATCATACCACGATGTTTTCGCGTGGACATGGATGTAACATCACTATCCCACCGAAAATTTATTACACATTGCTCCACACAGGTGCTCCATTGCTAGCAATGTACCATGTCAAATCGACCTAAATGTTGTCCCCTTAACAGGATCTTTGTTAATTCCTGATAAATTTATTATGATCATTTATACGATGACTATGCACAATATATTTATGCAGGTCGCAGTGCTACAGGTGTAAGAGCCTGACAATAGACCAAAACCCTCAATAAAAACTGACCTGACTTCATGATCATATTATCCAACTCTTGTGCCCCGGCGCCATATACTTTTAGCGCAGGTGAATGCACAATTTTATTACCATTATTCATTATATAATAACCTCAGAGCTATAAACGCCTAAATTTAACTGAGCCAGCGACTTAATTGATTTTAGAGTAAAAATAATTTATATATATTTTTATTTGTAAACCAATTTTAATAACACAAACTACATTATAAATTAAAGTTTATCGGTTATGATTCTGAGACACAGTAAAAGTGCTAACAATTATATTTTGGGTTCTGTTAAGTCCATAAAGTCACTTAATAATGTCTTCTCAAATGTATTTAATGTACAGATAGCTGTCAGTTACAACAATAAATTATGAGTGAATGAATCACCACAGTTGTAGGAACCCTGCGGTTTTTTTACTTTTCACCGCATCGCAACGCGTCACCCGTCTTTGTTTTTACTTCGTTTACTCTGCATTGATTTTTATATTTGCTCGGATACTAAAAATCTAAAGGGCAATGATGAATGCTACATTCAAATAGAAATATGTACAAGTTTTGTTTTACATTTAGCTGACAGACCAGTTAAACAGACAAGGCCACTTAACTTACATTGTAGGTATACACTTAATAAAAACTAATGGGTATGATATTAAATTTTATTAAAATTAGGTGCACTGTTTAAATTAAATAACTGTTGATTGACATATTATGTCCTATATACTATTTATTACCTATTATAGTGTACCTACATACTTATTCTCTTGTATTTTAGGAAAGGAAAATAGTAGGAAGTCCTTTTTATCTACCTGCACACTACATATGTAGATTTTAAAGTTTTACCAATTGTATATTGTGTTGTTATGTTTTAAGACTTACAGTATATTAAATGAATATAGAAGTAATTTTGTATTTATTTTTATCTACCCTTTGTCGTAAAATAATAAATAGCTCAACCCACACGCGTCGTTTTAAATTTTAAGCAGCAATCAAGAGGAAGTCCTTTTAGGAGTGATCTATTTTTACATTAGAAGTCCAATATTAACAGAGGTGCAACATTCTCAGTGACAACTTGCGTAGGTGTATACCGTAGGCGACGATATTGTTAGCATTTGATTACTTAGTAGGCGTTCAAACTTGGACGGTTAACTGTTAATTGGTAATGTGGTGAAATTTTTTACGAGACATTAAAAATACATTTAGCAAATATCTGTCGAATGGCATATCGATGAAGTAATTTTGTAAAAGTCTTCTTTTAATTAATATCCTTCTATCATATCGCATTTGATTGAAAGAATAAATTACGTGTAGTATGTAGCGGTATGTTCTTAATGACTTTAGCCTGTCGACAAATTTGGCGAACATTAAAAAAAATATTGACAATTTGACATTGACATTTTGTCAACAAGAAAAAACAAATTGGCAAGTGTTGAAATAAAGTTCAAAATATTTTCCATATTATATTTTACAGTTAATAAGACAGTTTTTTCTAATAATATTGAGACTACTTAATTATATAATTTCTATAATTGCATCATCAGAAGAAAATAATGCCCGTTGGACGTAAACGGTGGAATCTTCATGGTAAGTTCATTTTATAAAATTTGTGCAACAGATTTAAATTGTATTATTTCATTAATACATTTTACATCGAACTTTCTGTGTTAGGCAATAATTTTACCTTTATACTAGAAACATAACTTTATCCTTAAATATCTAAAAGATATAGTATTAATTAATTAATAACAATGATATATTATCATTGTTGACATTCAGAGGTAACTATTATACATTACATTATTTTTATTATTAATAAAGTAATATCTTGTGTAGCTTAGGAATAAAGTAATCATGTATATTATGGTTTGCCTCCAGTGCAGGATAATATGATAAACATGAAGTTATCTCTGCTAACATTATTAACCATTATGGTGAAGGTTGTAAACAATGTATACTTTTTAAGTTTATCTCTCCTCAGATGGGCCACAAGGCTCCTTGAGGAGGCTACGTAACCAATTAGCTGAGGATGGGTGTGCAGAATCGCAAGTTGTTTTAGCCAAGCAGTTATTAGAAGAAAAATGTGGTATGATACCTACTTTATTGAATTCCAATAGCTTATTACTCTTTAGTCCTCTTGTGATCAACCTCTGTCCCATTCAAACGAGGAATACAATGAAGAGCCCGAGCTGAGGTTTGAATACTAAAGTTGTATCTGTGAGCCTTAGCTGGCTCCATGTCTGGGTTTAGATTTCATTGGGTGAAGTTTCACCAAATGAAAAGAGTGCAGAGGCAGCTGATATTTACAACTGTAAAGGCTGTGTAGGTATATAGGATTACTGTTCCTATAGTATATCCTGAAGGACTGGCTTATGATATGTTGAGATTTAAGTCAGTTGGTACTATATTTACTTTCATTAATAGAAAGTAAATATAGTACCAATAAAATACTGCCTGAGGAAAAACTACTATTATTATTAATGTTATTATTATAGATATCTTCCTATTTACTTACACTAATTATGATAGTGATGAAAGTAGAAAGTAAATTTATTAGCATTGTATAATTTAATTTTCAGAATTGGAAGCTGATAAAGTTTCAAATTTCAAACAGGCCTTAGATTGGTTGATTTGTGCTACTGAACAAGCTCATCCAGAGGCCAGGAGAATGCTGAGAAGGTACCTTACAAATATGAATTTTATTTAAATTGCAATGTATACTAGTCTTTAGTTCATTTCAATGCTTGTTAATGTATTAAAATTTGAAGTAGTTCAAATTAGCATTCAACATGATGGCAGTCAAAGTCTAATATGGCGGACCATCCAATATAATAATAATACCCTGGGATAAATCACATAGTCCAGTTTAAGGTTATCACTAGTAATATCGACTAATGACTCCATTGCTAGCAATGTACCATGTCAAGTTGACCTTCAGTGACAACACGATGAAGATACGATGTGCTAACCCAACCTCTTACTTATCTTATCATCCACCTTCATAGAATACTCCAGACCAATATTAACAATCATACTCATGACTACAAACATATATTGTATGAAAATGGATGCAACGGAAGTAAACTATTTGCTAAACTGATTATTTTCTTTTGTAAATACATTTATTATATATACATAGTAAATACATTTATTATATTGACCTGGTGTATTATATGTAGCTTCACTTATGTGTAATGTAATCCCTTAATCACTCCATTAAGCACTTGCGTAATTGTCCGAGGGTGTTCGCCCTAATTTGTGGGGATCACAGCTCGTGCCATATTGTCCCATCGTCACCGGTTCAAATGTTAAATGTCACGAGCAGTGCCGCTATCCAGAATACGTACCATCAAACTCTGAATATATCTTTTAAATAATAACAATAAACAACCCCTTCACATATTTCTTGAAGATTCAAACTAATCAGAGCTCATATTACCTGCTTCGTAAAAGGAATAATTACTTTTAAATTAATGAAGTATTGAAAGAAACAAAGAAAGAAAGAAAAAAATATTTATTTATATTTTCATTAATTTTATGTGATTCATATATGAATATACTAAGATTTTTTAGTATAATTTATTTGTATGTATTTAATCCTAGTACTTATATATTTAAAAACTAACGGTTTTATTAAAACATATAAATAGTACAAATAATAAACAAAAAAGTTTCAATATACACTTACTTGCACTGGCCAGAAAGATGTTGACATTTATGCAATTATAAAAAAAATATTCATACAACTTGGACATTGGCGTAAAACGGCGCTATTGTTAAAGACCGGCGACATAAAACAACACAACTCCACATAATGATATGAGGTAATGTTTAGAATCCACATTCCCTGGTAAAGTAAACACAAACATTGATCCATTTCGAATTTGTCATCGGACGCTAGTTGACGTAGGGCGTTTATTTGTTTTAATATTCCGTGAAGCTTCACCCATGAATATAAAAATTGACGACTTTGCCCTTTGGAAAATAAGATGGGATCGAGTCTGCGAAGAACTCCGGCGTTCTGTGTATGTATTTTAATTATAAGTAAGATTTAGCACTGCTACAAATTCGTTATAGGTCGAATGGTCTTGGTCCTCCGAAAAACTACGTTCAGGAGTATTATCATCATTGCCTTACCTTTATCCCATTATTTGGACTGAGCGCAGTATGTCATCTTCCACTGATCCCTATCGGTCGTTTTATCTAAGCTTACTCTCCTTTTATGTTAAATATTTATATCGTATATTGTTAATTAAGTCTAGTTCGTATCTACTCGTACTTGTAGAAGTGACCCCACCGTGCCTGTTACAACAAATATTGGTTTTTCTATAGTTTAGTCGTAAAAAAATTAATAGATAACTAAAAGTAAGGAACACGGAAATTCAATCCGTCTGGATTTCATACGACACCGATATATACAGATATTCGGACTGAATATTTTTTGGTCTTACACGTACTAATAGTAGAATTAAACAAAGTAATATAAATTCATTAAGTAAATATATTTATCATGAAGGGTCGGGTCATTGGGCTCCCTAAAATATGGTCGAGCGTAGTGATGGCTGGCTCATCCGTTATACTCATGATTGAGTTCTGATTGTAGGGACTGATCTGCTCTAATCAGTACGACGTGATAGTTTGTATTCACACGTTTCGACTTAAAAATGTATAGTTACAACGATTATTTAACAGAGCAACAAGTAAGTTTCTTGTTAATTCTTCTTGTGATGAGACAGCTTTCCGAATGAAGGGTGGATAAAAAAAAACTATGACTTAAAAAGTGCCTAATCTTCGGAATTGTGAGGTCGTTCTGTGAAGCCTGTGATGACGCGATGTGTGTATAAAAAAAAACTATGACTATTCAAAAGTGCTTAATCTTCGCAATTGTAAGGTCGTTCTGTGAAGCCTGTGATGAGGCTTCCTGGTGTTTTCACAAATTTCAAGGTTCATAGGCTTTTGCTGGGAGGAGGTTGGCTGGCCACTTTAGTAGTCACTGCTCGACACGCATAACGGCCAAAATGAGAGGCTAAATGCTTAAAACAGAGTCCAACATAACATTCCAATACAGGTGCCTAAATTTAAATTTATTTGTTTAATGTATTTTCTATTATATTCTATTTGAATTACAGGTGCATTCGAAGCGGTGTAATCGACGAGGACAGCGCAGCGATCGTGCGCGCCAAGTCGTGCCTCGCGGCTAGCAGACAAGAGACGGTCGCCAGGAAAGCGGCCAGAGATCTATTCGCAAGGTATAAGGGTCTACCATTTACTAGTAGCATAGCATAGGGGTATATCTCAAGGCTTAACAAATGGGACGACAAGCATCGCTATCTTTTTTATAGGATAGCGTGACGGCTTGCAGAGGGGTGGAACGCCAAAAATGATAAAAAACATCATAATCTATTTTTTTAATTAAGATGAAAAATGAAAAGGACAACTATATTTTTTATTAATTCCCTTAGCTTTAGGCGGCATACTAAAAGGGGTGGAGTGCATATCAATATTTTTAAGTAAAAAAATAAGTTTATGGTATTTTTTTTTTTATTACCTAATTAACAAAATGTATACAGTTAAGTTGCATTATTTCAATATTTCTATTTATTTTTTTGAGGAATAACTACAATAGCGTAGAGGGTTAATTTTAAAATTGAAAATGGAGAATGAACCATCCAGATGGAGATGAAAAAACCAGCGTGGTTCTTCGTCACTGGATTTTACATCTGTCTGTCAAATTTTAATTTTCTTTATAATATTAGTAAGGATAACAATACATATTTCTAGGTATTTTTATCCGTCGTTTATAAATGTTTGATACTCTGCCCACACCATATTTGGCTATCACTATGGCTATTTGTATCCACAAACGCTTTAAATAAAAAATAATAATTGTATTTAATACATGACATGTTTAAACAAATAACGAAGTGTCGGGCACAGTCTACTTAGCTTATATTTGTTTTTGACGTCATATTTTATATGGAGGCCTAGAGCAATCAAATTAAGACGGTCATTTAAACTAAATTAGTGACAACCAGTAACAGCACTTGTATAAATAACATTAACCCGCTTTTTACAATGATTAAAGTGTCTTATTTATTCATTTAAATGTAAATAGTAGTTGAATTATATTTTGAGTTTTTATATAAATTTATCATGTACCCTTTGAAATTAAGATTGTGTCAATTTTTTGCCATCGCGTATACCACGGTCATTGTGCTGATTAATCCCTACCATATAATTTATTTGTAACATATAGTGAAGTAAAGACAAAAAATATATTAAAGAATACATATATAATTACAATAAGGCGACTTCATTGCTGAAAGCAGGGTTGTCAAGGCAACCTTAGGGAAACGGATTTAAATGTCGAAAGTATAATTCTTCCTTCTTTACCTATTATTCCTTCCTTATTTTACTATTATTCCTTCTTTTTCATGTTTATTTATAATTTCGTATATTACAATATAATAATTGTTTTTTGTAAGTCGTAACTGACTTACAAAAGAGATTCTCAATTTGACCATCTCTTTTAGTGAGAACCTTCTTTATATATATTCTTGAAAAATTGTACTACAGACGCGTTTCCTCTTCAGTTTATTTGTTTGTTTGGTTTATAGTAGTATAGCTTATAATTGATAATTACAGTTTGTCTAACGGCGAGCAGTACATAACAACGGCGCAGTTGGAGCGGCGGATTCGTGAAATATGCAACACCACGCTGCGTAAAGAACCGGACGATGCGGACTCGCCGGATGACGAGGCGCCAGGTAATGTTGTATCACTTGTTTCTACTAGCATACATCAGATATACATCTTTCTACTAACATACTTTCCATTTGTCCATTTGTATCCGGACTTTTTATTTATTTATTACTCTTTATTGCACCTTATTTATGAACGTCAACCTATTTGGTAGTTTATATTTACACAAAATTCTGAATAATATTTATTTAAAAGAGGAACACGCAAGTTTTCGTTCTTCTTGAGACGAGACTACGGTCCGAATGAGTAGAATAAAGAAACATGATATTAAATTAATTTGAATGAAGATTATTTCTATTTCTTAAAAACACAAAAAAAACAATAGATAGAGTATGTAGTAGAGTAGTAGTACAAGGCGGTCTTATCTTCTAAGCGATCTCTACCAGCCAGCCTTTGGGTAGAGAAGAAAAGAAAGAAAATAATGGCGCATGAATAGGTTGAAAGAAACAAAATAGTAATAGTAATATATCAAATACATACACATATTATTGAATGTATTAATATTTATATATTGATAGGAATTAATACGTGAACAATGTATTTTAAATACTGAGTTAATACCGAAATTATTAATAACCCTGGACAATTCGCAGCGCCATTTAGTTCCAAGCTCTAATTAATAATTCCAAGCTCTGCTTAGGGTTTATGTTACAGGTACTAAACAGTAACAACAGTATAATACTCAAAAACATGTTTTATAACACACATACATAATATATATAGGAAAGCGAGCGCGAATAAGCGGCGCGCGCGGACTTTGTCGTTCTATTTGTCTATACTTAACTTATTTGCCTATATATACTTAACCTCTTCGCGCGTGAAAGATACGCTCTATCATATCGTATCGTGTAAAGGCAGCAAAATGTATTTTTCTATGTGTTTGCAGGCATGGAAGAGGCGCGAGCGCTGGGTCAGCAAGCGTTGGAGCCGGTCGAACACTTGGAACCACTTCAGGCCGGAGATCATGCCCGTACTAATGGCGCGCTCCGCACCACGCAGCCCGATACACCAGGTACACTTACGCGCGTTAATATGACAGAAAACAGGTTATGTACTACTGTCGTACACTTTTTTCTGTGTATTTAATAAAAAAAAATCGAACTATTTTAAAAACAAAGTTCTCTTTAGTTCAGTTATCGAGATATTTAATTTGGTGACCCTTTGTGAACTGCGAAATTCTGGTCACGCTTAAACTTCTAGGTTAAAATTATGCTCTTATAATTATTATTAATTTATGCCCCCGCAAGAAATGGTTTGTTAATGGCAGATTGAAAAACAATGCTCTATACCTAGAAATATCACAACCCACAGATTGAAAACCAATGCTCTATGCGCCTATTTTTTTTTTCAGATTACCCTGACACATGTGGTCCCAGCGAAGAAATCAGGAATCTCACCGTCGATAACTTAGTCACGGCCGCAGTTGACTACTGTCAGGGCGAGTTGCCACTAGTCAGCTACGAACTGACTCTAACAGACCCCAGTATCAAGGCTTTAGACCACATACCCATCCTCCAACAGGCCTTCTTACATCCTCTAGTCTTCTTACAAGTTTTATACCTCAAACTATTATACTACTTCGGTTCATTCTCATTTAGACTGTCAAATATAGAACTGTCATTATTACTAGTAGCGTATTTGTCAGTCAATGCTGACAGTTTATACCACTTGGTGCCACTAGTGTTGTACTACGTTAGTTTTGTAGTTATGGTTATTTGTACCTTTAAAATGTTGCACGCGAAAAGACAATTCATAGACTTTAGAAAATGGTCAGGACTGTTTTTAAGGTACAGCGATGGTAATCTGCAACCGGACGAATCGGAGAATCTATTCGTCCGGAACAATTTAGGTCCATTCATGCAGTTCTTCGTTGCATTATTCATTAATTTGTTTCTATACCCGTTTATAGCAACCCAATGGGTGCCGTTTTCAGAGTTCTGCGTACTCTCGTTCTTCCTAATGTTCCTAACATTGTTCTCGTTCGGGAAAAACGGTAATCCATATCCTGATATTCTCGCATTACTTTCCTTCGGTATAAACGTGCTTGCGAAGTATCCGTACGAGAAAGACACAGTTGTCCACCAAGGTTGGCGGTTCCTTGATCTCCATATATCCAATTATCCATCTTATATACTAGGTAATAGCATTGAATTTTGTTTGAATGCGCGTGTGTTTTTCTCTCTTTTAATACCAATGATATTGATAGTGATGGCTCGTAGGAGCGACTGGCAGGGTTTCTTCAAGTGTGCCATCCCGCATTGTGTGACCCTGAGTTGGTTACAGATGTTCATAATGTGCTCCCATGGTTGTACAACGTATGGCTTGATAAGGGGTACATTGGCTTTAGTCTGCTCATTCCTATTCTTGCCATTAATCGGAATGGTGACAGTGACATTACCTATATTTGCTGTTCTGCAGTACATTACGTTATCGAGAGTCTTCTATACGGTTACGATAATCGTTTGGTTTGTGTTGAGCATGGGAGTCACGTGTTTGCTGGCCAAGTCAGAAACTACGAAGAAATTTGTGACACCCTTTCAGGTTGGTTTTATGTGTGCTTATATATTAGTTTAAGTGAAATGTAGCATGTGTAATTGTGTATAATGAATTTTACTTTAATTTTAGAGGATCTATAAATAAGCAAAACAGTCCAAATCGGAAAAAATATATGTTTGTATCACGAGATTATAGATAGAAAGGTTGTATTAAATAAATACGTAATACTTATTTGGAACTGTATATTGTATAAACAACGGTTAAGCACCACGAGACAACTACACAGAGAGAGAGAGAAAGAGATGTATGTATAACAGAATCTTCTGTTAGACAGAATCTTACGTAGTCATAAATGCATACAAACATGAAGGTTATTGTTAATTCAACTCAAATTAGATGCTCTATCTCCCTCTAATCTAGTATAAGATTAAAAAAAAATACGGAACATATTGACATAATCGAATTAGTTAGTTATTTATGTTTTCTTATTTATATTATATTTCAGCTTGCAGTGGGCTTAGTAACAATCATATACTTTGGCAACCAATTTTTAAGCGAAGTGCAAGATGATGGTTTACCTTCTGGCTTGCTAGAACTAATTGGTGACGAGAAATCCGGTATAAGAAACCTATTGAAGAACGAATTTATATCGGATTATGAAGACAACAGTTATTATATAAACTGGGAAGATTACTATAATCAATGCAACAACCCATCTTGGTCGGATGATAATATGGCGACAACGCAAATAAAATGTTCAGTTCTTGAAGGAGCCAACGTAAATTGGGAGGGTTATGTTAAAGAAGTCAAATTGAAGAGTGTAGTGAATAGATGGAACGCTGTAGCCGCTTGGTTGCCTGGCATTATGCAGGAGTATTTCAAGTGTTATTATGGCGAGGAATATGCGACCTTGTGTCAAGAACCCGATGGTCCATATTCGAAGAAAGACTGCGAGTTTGTTAGGAGTGTGGCGCGGCAAAGTGGGAAAAGTTGTCACTTGAACAATCTAAACGAGTAAGTTTCTTTTCATCATTACCTTGTTTTTTCTAATAATAATGTACATAGAAATATACATTGTCTGCAGTAGAACTAACATAGAAGTTAAACACATGAAATTAATGACTCTTTACGTTCGTTTAGTAACAGTATTTATTTGTTTTTACTTTCTAAATTGTATTTCAAACATATCATTTGAATATTGTGGAAAAAATAATGAATAAAAACATTTTTTTTAGAATTCTATTTGTCTATGGTTGCGTAAGGAAAATAATGTATAATAAAAAATTCCGATTATCTCGGAATTTACTCAATATAAATAACAATGACGTATCCTAGGACTATTTTACGATTAATAAGTATTATTATTTATATATTATTAGTATTTATGTCTTGAAAAATATCGTTATTATTAATAAGGAAGTTAAAATAGTGTTCATTCAATAATGTAAAAATATTATTGTAAGAATATTATTTCAACTTTATTTTATTAATATTTGATTATTTTATTTATTAGTTGATGGTATTAACGTATGTAATATTGTATATACTATAATTTCATGAAAAAAACTATGGTCTAATCGCTATTCAACGAATGATAAGAACATTAGTAATACGGTTTTTAAAATATAAATAGAATTACAAAAGTGCTAGGCACTTAATCCTTCCCAACTGTGAGAACTTTAAATTTCTTGTAAAACATCTTATTTGTTACATCACCGAGATTAATTGATTGGTTTCTATCCCCAGATACACATATGAAGTGAAACTTCTTATGGAGACATCAGGGGGACTCTTGAAACGTCACGCAGAGATATCAGTACAATTCGAACATCATTTTAAAAATTTTACCCACCAACTACGGGCCGACGATAAAATACGGTTCAAAGGTGTCCTCAGCAATACAGAGACATACGATATCGGTGCCAAAGAATTGAACGTAAAAGGTCATGAAATACACTGCTTGGAGTGCAAACAGGCGAGCGGTACAGTCACAACGAGAACACCAGCAGTGTCCAAATTATCAGAACTCGTTAAAACCATAATGAACGATTGCATAGTTTCTACAAAGTATATATTGAATTTTCTATTGAATCCAGTTATTGTTTTCAAATAAATTGCATGTGATATATCAAATAATTTATGCTAGTATATACTATACCTGTTTTTTTTTATTGACAAGAGAACACAGGTAGGTGATTTTTTTAAATTGCCATGTAATATTAAAATCAATATCCGAAGCAATAGTTATTATATTCAAATATAACTAATTGATGAATAATGTAATGTTATTTATTTATAAAATAGCGACTGTAACGCAATGTTCTAAATAATATTTTAAATTATATGATCTCCGATATGTTTGTTATTACATTGTAATAATGTGTTTGATTTAATATTAAATCTATATATTTATAAATATCTTAGTCCGCCGTTATACGAAGTGTATTTTAATTGAAACCTGACATTAGCTTACGATAAATTTGGTTTAAAGTTAATCGTGAAAGGGCTCCATTCTAGCCAAGAAGGCAATTACCGCTTATCTATCACATTAAGAGAAAAAATATGGTATTTTGCTTGATTACTGCCTCCTTTATAAAATTTTGTTTTTATAGGAAAGTGTTGCCATTTTTGCTTATGAGTTTAGGGAACATGTCAAAAAATAGTATAATAATATATACTATTTTTTGACATGTTCCCTAAACTCATGTAGACATTCTACAAGAACTCAAATGTAGACATGACAGTTTGAACTAAACTTGATATGAATCGAGTAATTTTATAGAAATTAGAAAACTGAATTGGAAATAATAAATCACCTGATTGATAATATGTTAACTCACATTTAATTTGTTTATTTTTACATGTTACCTCAATGGACAGTTAATACTTTAAGATATTTTATTATTTAATCCATATATAATATAACCTACAATATAAATAACTAAATGAAATAATAAATTTACTGATTGATAATATCTCAACTCACAATTAATTTATTTTACATGTTATTTTACATTTATGTCACGATTAGCAATTAAAACTTCAAGATATTTTATTATTTAAGCCATATATAATATAAAATACAATATAGATTTCTAAATTAAATACTAAAATAGCAGATTGTATCATTAAACAATAGTTTACGTATTTTGTGAAAATGCTCTATAACATGCTTTAGTGATATAAAAAAATATATTCTGTAATTTAATATATCTCAATGTTAGGGTACTTTGTCATGACTTTAAAGTTATATACAAGTAAATTAATTATATTTATTAACAAACTTGCCAATGTATAATACAATGTCCTAAATTACTTGGATTTTTAAATTTTAAAGGGTAATTCAATTTTCAAACTTAATTTTTTTTATTATATTCCTGCCATTTTGTGTTATAATATTTTTTATTTTATTTTATAAATGTAGCTTTGTTACGAAGTAGTTGTTTCAACATGTAATACAGTTGACAGGATATTAAGATGATCTCAGTTTGGGTTTGTGATTATGGAAATAATGTTATACATTTTCCGCTTTTTGTCTAAATAAAATGGTTTTGTAAGCAAGTTGTAGAAAACACAAAATAAATCCTATTTTTAATATTACACCAAATTTTTAGCTAACTTACTAAGAGGTTCTAATCTGTATAATAATGACAAAATTAGTTTTATTCTGTAATGTATATTTATGACTAATTGTTTAATCAGTTAATTAGTTATCATCTTCGATTACAATTTTTTTTTATAACTCTTCTAGAATATTAATTTTAATTCCATTTTTAAAGTTTCTAGAGCACAAAGCTGGTGTTAAATTATTATTATCTGACTCTAGTATTATGATAAATCCATACTAGTATTATGCGAAATTATGTCAGTCTGTAGGTAACAGATCATGATCAAACTCTTGGATGGATATTAATATTAATATCCACCCAAGAATATGAAACTGGGTGTGAATATAGATCGTACTACGAGGATGAACATAGAATATGTGTTATCTAATAAAATCAGATGTAGTAGCTGATAACAATGTATTTTTCTGAGCATATTTTAAAGGGATTTAAAAAAACTGAATATTATTCTCTAAATTATCATTTTTTCCTTTGTAATTAAGAATGGTGTTATCGTTGAACTCATGCCATAATATATTTAATAATACGATATTTATACTGTAAAAAGTGGAAAATTCTTTATGACAAATGTTACTTTAGATTAGATATATTGTTTTTTCAATAATATTGTACCTCTATCAATTGTGATTTTACGTTTTGTCTCCAAGTTAGTTATATTTAGAATTTAGGAATTTGTAAAAGTTTACTAAATGTTATTCGCCTATAGAGTAAAAGGGTATTGTGTGTTTAAATCGTGACAATAGTCGTATGTTATGAAATAATAGTGTTAACAGATCAAATAAATGAATATTTTGATTGTATTGTTTTGTATATTTGATAGATTTAAGATTTATTTTTAAGACGACATAAATATACTATTAACACGTAAAATACAATATTTATTTATTTCTTTAACAGGCTTTATTGAGTATATAACTATACAGTCTATCCATAAAAAATATATATGTTTTTACATATTTTTCTTATTACAATAAAATCATGCCCTATCAAATCACAATATCTTTATTCATATGCAAAGATTGATTATTCATCATTCATATGAAACAATCTAGCAAATAATTTTATATAAAAGATAGACAAGTGCTCTATGGTAACATTCACACATTTGTACGATTTGTTATAGGTGTTTCATTACTGCAGAGTTAATCAGAAATATAAATTACCACGAAGTTTTCTAGTGTTGTTTAGTTTTTAAATAAGGAATATTCCGGTCTAATTCAGTATAGTAAACTATTGAGCCACAACGTTCTCGCTACATTACATTACACATTACTTACTAAATAGTGTTTAAATTTGTAATGGTATACAAATATACACTTTGTTATGAACTGTACTGTATCCTCTTCGGTAAGCATTGTTTATTGATGATAAGGATACGTCTTAATTGTAAATTATTAAGTACTGCATCTATTTGATAAGATCTGATAATATTTTATGATTCAAAATGTTATTGTGTTAAAAACTCGAGCCATTTGTTACTTTACCGTTAAAAGAGTGTAGTGTCAATTGAATATGAGGAAAATACCTGATAATATCAAATTTGCGGTAGCTTCAGCTGCTTATCAAATCGAGGGAGCATGGAACGCAGCAGGTAAAGTATCTCCATAAAGGTACATACTTTAATACGTGTCTACCTCGTAGATACCTTAGAATGGAGACCTTCGCCCACGTTAGGGTACTTGCAATGGACCATATTTTATATTTTAACTAATTGTTGTCGGTGTTTCCATCACCGGGAAGTTAGTAAAAATATAAATTGACGACATTTTATATCAACCTGCTAGATTTGAACACAATCTTCATAGTAAACAATGAATGAATATACATCCGTATATATATGCGCAAGGATAGCTTGCTAATATTACAAATTCGGTAGTTTGTGAGCGTGGATGGATTGATGTTTGGTACTTTTTCACGCAAAAACTACTGAATAGATAGATTTTAATGAAATTACAGAAATATAGCTTATACATCAGAATAACAAATAGACTATAAATTTTTACAGTGAATCCGCGGGTACAGCTAGTAATGGTATATGTACATAACAATACACAGACTACCTAAGTTCACTAAGTTCTTAAATTGCAGATAAATCACCGAGCATATGGGACACATTCTGTCAAAAGCCGGGAGCCATTATGGACGGCACAAATGGCGAAGACACCTGCAAATCGTATGAGTATTACAAACGAGATATTGAGATGATCAAGTTTCTAGGAGTCTCGGTCTACAGGTTCTCTATATCTTGGCCGAGACTCCTTCCTGACGGTTTCGCGAACAAAATAAGTAAAGAAGGCACAGAGTACTATAACAATTTGATTAACGGATTAATAGAGAATGGAATTGAGCCTGTAGCTACTATGTATCACTGGGATTTACCACAGAAACTCCAAGACCTGGGTGGTTGGGCCAATCCTGATATAGCGGTCTGGTTTGAAGACTATGCTAGGGTTTTGTATGAATTATTCGGGGATAGAGTAAAAACGTGGATTACATTGAATGAACCGAAGCAATTCGCTGTCTTTGGGTATGGAATGTCTAGATTTGCACCAGCTTTGAACATGGGTGGTATCGCTGAGTATCTGGTGGCAAAGAACTTACTGCTCGCACACGCCAGGGCGTGGCATTTATATGATAAGGAATTCCGGTCAACGCAAAAAGGTGACTAATGTTTATACATATAACGACAGTCTCTTGTCGTAGCGGTTTAGCACACTCTTACTCTCGATAGTCACGGTTTCAATTCCATCGGTACAAACATTTGTATTCATGAGTATGATTATTTGTATCGATCTGGGTTTTTCTCTATGTAAATTATGTATGTATTTACAAAAAATGAATATAAGGATTTCAATCAGTTGTTTACCATAATGGAAGCTATAGGTACTATCTTGGGTCTGTATGCCGCTGGAAGAAATTGGATATCCAGCTTTCACTGTATAATACAAATACATAAATCACACAATAAATATGCTAAATATAGTTGAAAGTACATATAAATATTATTAAATTTTCCAGGTGTATGTGGTATTACTATAGCTACAGATTATCGCGAAGGTGAGACAGACTCCCCAGATGACGTAATTGCAGGCAAAGAGGCAATGGACTTCGAAGTAGGCCTGTATAGCCATCCTATATTTTCCACTGCGGGTGGCTTTCCTGAAAGTGTGATACGCCTAGTCGGACAGAAAAGTGCCAAACAGGGCTACCCTAGAAGCAGGCTGCCGGAGCTCAGCACGAAAGAAATCAAATTTATTAAAGGTAAGTTATTCTTCTATACAATTCATGCTCCACTACTACTTTTGTTGGTTTTTCTCTACCTAAAAGCTGTCTGGAAGATTGCTTGCGAGCGATAAGACTGCTTTTTGTACTTCTATGTGTAATTCTTGTGTAAAATGCTTGGTACAATAAAAAGATTACAAATAAATAAGATAAACGTAAGTTATAACGGTTTACTACTTTAAGTTAGACCCCCAAGATCATGGATTTGAATCTGCCCAAAAATATCATCAAATAGCTTGTGTAACAATTTATGTTTACATCAGAATCCTGGACCAAATTAATCAAGCATTGTCATCAGTTTGTAATAGATCTACACGAATAAAGATATTTTGAATTTGTGTGAACTGTAATTAAACGGTTCCTTTAAAATAGCAATTCTCTATATTTCGATCGGTTTCAAAAGAAACATATTCGCAATGTAGTTATATAATAATATTATCTTTATTTACTACCCACAAGGAACTTTCCAATGTACATAATAAATGTATTATTCTGCATATGATACGTACATGATTATCTAGTCACTTATCTTTCGATGCATGAGTCACCGCACGTTTCACCTCGTAATTATATATTACGACGGCCCCGGTGGTCTAGCGGTTTAGCACGCCGCCGCCTTCTGATTCGCGGATTCAATACTTTATTTGATACAAACATTTGTGTCATGTATGATTGTTAGTATTGATCTGTGTATATTTTATTTTATTTGTTTCTAAGATTTTTGTAATCTATATGTGTAAATTATTATTTTGATTAATAAAAAGAATTTTTTAATTATATTAATAAATTATTAGGCTCCTACTGCAATTTGATACTGCGGAAGTTTTTAGTATAAGTTTCACTGTTGGACATATGTATATATTTTTTTAAGGAAAATAATGGAATGGTGCACTCGCCTGTGCTAACGGTAGGTTTACGCTAGCAAGGCACCAGTGGAGGATGATGAGTATGATGTCAGGTGAGTTAGCCCATCATGACTATTTCTCTAATAATTTATCATAATGGTTTCTAGGAGGAAGCGCGTGGAGGTCGTCCTGGCATGGTACATTGCTAGCAATGGGGTTATAAGTTCACAAAACTAACAATCCCCTCCCGCCGACGTATATATATACTATTACACAGGTATTTAAAAAAACTGTATTTCAGTATACTTATCTATCAGTGGTTTAGTGCCCATAACAGAAGTTCTGCTTAGCTTGTGAAAATAAATAATAATACACATTGTTTGCATAAACAATATATACTATTATTTATATTTCACTGTATAGTCTATAGGCACAGATAACATAATATTATTTAGATTAAATAACTGGCTTATCCAACACGCTATTAGGGCCTAATCATAATAACAGTAATAAAGAATCAGATAGTAAGGATAAAATACACTATAACGAGGTATTATAAATATGATAATTGATAAATGTCAATGAAATAATAAGTACAGGCGCCATATTGGTCAATAACCGATTGTGACTACGCCTCTTTTAATTCACAAAAATTGTAGAAACGTAATTTAAATTGATTATTTTAGGTATAACATACCTAAGTACAAGGTCTAAAGTCGTAAATGAATTTAATCGAAATCATAATAATGTAATCACTGTATAACATTATTAGATTTAGATATTGCAATGAATATAACGTATGCATTAAGATCTACATCAAAATTTTGGTAATTCCTTATATTATAAATGCGAAAGTAAATCTGTTTGCCGCTTTTTCATAACAATGACTGCTAAACCAACTAGACTATATGTCTAGAAAGGATATTGAACGGGGAGATGAAAATATCATTTTTAACCTAGAATCTTGAAAATAAATATGACATTCAAAATCTAAAAAGGTATACTTTTAAGGGATTAAATAAATAGGGAATGAAAAGTTGTAACGAAATTCTTCATTTTTTTATGCTAGAACAATGTATCTTTTTGTTGTGTTTTTATGTTAGATTATTATTATACGTCTTAATACGTATGTATCTATCTAATTTGGCAAATAATTAGGCTATATAATTAAAAATGCTATCCTAGGTAAATTTTACGTTATTTCTTGTATTATATACTCCTACGTATGTATTGCTTTCGGCGAGGACGGATTACAATTTTTTTTATTTTTTTTATACATACCTACTAAGTATGTTATTGTTGTTAATAACATAGGATTTCTTATCTACCATATTCATATCGCGATAAACCCTTGTAAATAAATTACGTGCATTTGCACTTATCAAATCAGTAATAAATGTTTTATTATTTGATTAAGTAAGTAGGTGTATGTTGTTAACCTAAATGCAACCACAGGGGGTGGGAAAGTGATTGTTAGTAATGCCATAGATAAGATAATATTACATAATAATGAGGACTATTGAACCCATTGCTAGCAATTTACCATGTCAGCTTCACCTCCATTCGTGTCCCACTGGAAACCATCATGATAAATTCCTAGAGAATTTTCCACGATAGGCCAAGTAACCTGACCTCAGGCTCATCTTATCATCCTCTACTGATGCCCCGCGAGTGTTTGTTCCGTGATAGGAATTGATCCCGCGACCATCAGACTTAAAGCGGCGTACTAAACCGCTAGACCCACCGAGGTAGTCAAATTTATTTTGTTATTATTACATATTTTATTTTATCTATTAAGCTTATGGTTTTAAGCCGTCCTTGTGGCCTAAACAGAATAACAGCGCTATGACAGTTAGATGTCATAGCATATGCTGAATATTGGTGGGCCATATTGCTAATTAATAACTATACATATTAATATAATTTTGTGTAGTTTAATTATATTTTTATGAATTCATGTTATTAGAGATTCTTTCTTCTTTCTTAATTAATTATTTTGTTATAAAAGAAAACCTGTTGTTGACGAAGGCAAACATTTTTGATAGTTTTATTATATATATTTATTATTAGTATTTTATATTTTGACGTTGTTTCTTTTCTATATACCGATTGGTTTCTAATGCATTAAACACAATATTTAGTCACCTAGAAACGTGTTTCATTTTAAACTGTATAATGAACTGGATGGTAGGGAATAATTAGAATACAAAAAAAAATTACGTTCACAACCGGCTATAATGTTCTACATTAATAAATTATTTTTTAATTTGAATTTTAAACCAGCCTAATACATTCCGTCATACCTATTACAGGAACAAGTGATTTCTATGGTTTCAATCACTATTCCACGAAGTTCTTTACGCGGAACACTTACAAGCAAGGAATGTTTCCCGTGCCATCCTACGATGACGATTTGGATGCAGTCTTCTCCATTAAGGATTACAAACCGGCTGCCGTCATACATTCAACAGTAAGTATATACTTATAATATTATCAACTGGGGGGAAAGGGATTGTTAGTAATGTGAACTAATTACTCTATAGCTAGTAATGTACCAAGTCAGGTGTGACCTCCACTGGTGTCCAGCCAGCGTAACCCGTTAGCGCAGGCGTGTTTACCATTTTATAATCATCCTTTAAAAAAAAAAATATATATATATATATATATATATATATATATATATATATATATATATATTATCAACTTTTATAATAATTATAATTCAAGAGAATATGAGACAAACGTGCTTGCGGCTCACCTTATGATAAGTGATTACCACTAACCTGTGAACCCCCGCAACACCAGGGGAATTGCAAATGCGTTGTTTTATGAAGGAATAAGCTCTTTTCTTGAAGTTTTTAGTAATATTAAATGATAAGAAAGAGAGACACTTGTAGACATTTAATACAGCAGAGCGCAGTGACAGAAGTGTATATAAAACAAATGCATAAAATCAATACTCATATTTGAATTATGAGTATCCTTTTTATATTCAAATCTACATCAAAAACTGCTACTGATTCTCATTGTAGGTAAGGTAAGTTTCAATGTCGTATTGGTTCGAAAATAACATTGTTGGAGGTTGATTCCATGGGTGCGTGGCAAAAAGTTCTAGAATAACGCACAGTTGTGACCGCCAATCATTCAGATAATTATGATGGTATGATATGGTAGATGGTTTGAAAACGGGGGAAGGGGACTATTAGTAGTGGATTCTTTTTTATGGATCATTATGTATTTGTGCAACCGCTAGTTGTGCTAACAGTTTACACTGGGGGAGCATCAGTGGAGGACGCGTAAGGTCAAGTCAGTTAGCCCATCGTGACAAATTTATCAAGATGGTTTTCAGAGGGCTTCGTGTAGAGGTCAACCTGACATGGTACAGTGCTAGCAATCTTCATACAAACAGAGTCATTCAGAATTTATTTGTCGGTAGAAAACCACTGTTATATTTTTGAAAATGAATAAACGTTTTCAGGCCATACCGTGGGGCATGAGAAAAGCGCTAAAATGGGTGAAAGACAACTGCAATGATCCAGAGATAATGATTTTCGAAAATGGTTTCGGAGATCTGGGTGGTACGGACGATGTCGACAGAATATCATATCTCACCAGGTATATTGATGCCATGTTGGATGCTATTGAGGTTGACAAGTGTAATATCACAGTGTACACTGTGTGGAGCTTGATGGATAACTTCGAATGGTGTAGTGGATTGAGGTAGGTATTTGATAATATTTTTTTAATGTACATAATTATATAACACCATGTCCTACAACAAAGTGGTACATCAAAGGGTAGGGCTACTAAAAAGCCCTCTATGGTTACAATATTGCTAAAACCTTATTAAATCTATCTTCAGTAATAGTCGCCTTAGAGACCCAGGCCTCCCCTAAACTCGACACGTCTCTCTCACGCGCCTTTCTCTTCCAGTCCACTGCATCTTCCTGGCTTATATATAGATATTTACTTTATAAATATAGGGGAAAAGGGAATTGTTAGTAATGTGGACTAATGACCCTATTACTAGCAATGTCCCATGTCAGGTTGACCTCCACGCGGTTCCCCCTGGAAACCATCGTGATAAATTCCTGATGAAATTGTCACTATGGGCTAACTGACCTGATTTCATGTTTATCTTATCATTCATATCACTACTGCTGCCAAAATCGAACCCGTGATCTGCAAAACCTCCGTGGTCATCAAATTAGAATTAATTAATTAATGATAATAACTTAATAATTATAATTTTGCCAACAGCATTAAATTCGGCATCTTTGAGACGGACTATGAAGACGAGGAAAGAAAGCGAAGGCCTAAATGTTCAGCGTTTTGGTTTCGCCATTTGGTTGCCACGAGGACGCTAGACCCTGGCTATAAAGCACTGCGAGAAGATTTGACATTCTAACAAGTTGCATCGTATTTTATCCATCATAAAGTTATGCTAATGACGACCTCCGTGGTCTAGTGGTTTAGTACACCGCTTTACTTCCAATAGTCGCGGATTTAATTCCCCGCACGATTCAAACATATATAATTGTATTATTGTTTTCATTATTATATATTATATATTTCCAAAAAAAAAAAACGTATTTAAGTATTACTATCAGTTGTCTAGTACCTACCAATAACACGAGTTCTGCTTACTTTAATAGCGTTTTTCATTGTCCGGGGTCATTATTATAAAAAAAGTTTAATAATTTATTTTAGCAGCCGAGCTAGTTATGTTTTTTGAACTTGGGACAGTTTGTACGCTGTAAATTAGGTTTTAAAGGTATCCTTACATGTCCAATAATAATCAGATCGTGCCGACGACGCCGTTCGGTTGGCACTGCCCTTATATAATATTTTATTTAGTAAATAAACTAGTGCGCGGATTTTTCATTAGTTTCATTTTTACAGACACCTTACATTTCACATCGACTGCATCGGTGCACTAGCGGTTCCGCTAAATAAGGCGGTATGCATCACCTCTGTATTTCTTATGGTCACGGGATCGATTCTTCGCTCGGTACAAACATTTGTATTGATGAGTATGATTGTTTGTACCGGTCTGCGTATTTTCCATGTATATTAAATATATATTTAAAAAAGGTGTGTATTTACAACAGTTATCTAGTAACCATAACACAAGCTCTACTTAGCTCAAAACTAGATGGCGCTGTACATTAGCCTGAGATATTATTAAAGAAATGGTTTAGTAGTAATATCAATTATACTTGCTAAATAGTATAAAAATATATCACTATAGACAAATAAAAGATGAAATAAAAAAAATATATTTATTAATAAAACATTCTCGATACAATAAAATATATCACAACTATATATTAAACATTTCAGTCGTTAAAAGTTATGTAATATAAAGTGTGTGAATGAGCACCAAGTTATTTCATTATCACATACAAATTTCATCTTATTATCGTTACTTTATAGACAACAAAACAGTTAAAAGAATTTACTATGATAATATTATCTTTAAATTATATTGATTAACCCAAATAAATTTTTAAATAATTCCATTAATTACTAAAAATTTGATTTTGGCAATAAAATGACGAAATATGTCGGCTATTCTGTTAACTATTAACTTTTAATATTGAGACCATATTTCAAGTGAATAAATACATTTAATATCAACTCCAATGGACTCGGAATGGAGTATCTGTGACATCTTTGTATTACAGCTTACTTTAAGGTTGCATCCTCAAATATTACAAAATTATCCTATGCCCTAATTATATACAACATGATTAATAACCATATTATTTTTATTGATTTACATTGGCAATTATTATTACACAATAATTACAATAACACTGAGTAAATAAATTTACAGTAAAACCGATGACTAGCTTTGCCTGCATCTTGTTTGTAGTGATGTATGCGTAGCATAGCCTTTTTATTTACCTATTATTGACTGCAGTTTTAAAAATGAATATTTTTTTAAATATTATTCATAAAAATACCCAAATTACAGTCTGCAGTTAAATATTGAAATGTTATAAAATACAAAATAGCATTTTTTGGTCATTAAAATCTTTTGACGATTGGTACTGTAGTGGTTAACTGGCCGACGTTTGTCGGATACTTTCATCGTATTATACAAGATGGCTAAGATGCTATAGAAGATGGACAGGACCTATTATTTACCGTTACTGTTTTGCATTCGTACTATTACACAATTAGTACTGGTTTCCAAATTTAAAAATTGCATTTTGCCGACTTGCCACCATGCAGTTACGCCACTGGCTACAGATTACGTAGTCAACAATAGTACCTTCAAAGAAAATAATGCAGCAGGTAATTTCGCAATCAATTTGGATCCTTACATACAGTAGTGTAGATTATTAACTATAATAATTTTATCAAATACTGTTAAATATATATTTTAAAATTACCTTCCATAAAAACAACTACAGAATTAACGGAAACAATATAATTAAACATTTCCTGCTTGTCAATTCATTGACAAACAGATACATGAATGTTCGTTAACAATGTATGAGGATCCATAACACAAAATGTTAAAACTTCCTTCTGTTTATTCAATCATCAATCAAATTGTTATATCACATTTCTGGAAAATGATTGATGTTATATTATAATAATCTGTATTATACACATATACATCTATTAATAAAAATGTCAAATGTAAATTCAAATGTTCATACATGCATATCGCGTATGCGTATCTTTGTATGTGAATGTATGACAAATTTGGTAACAAGAAACATGTCACAAAAACATTCAAGAAAAACGCGGCTAATAGACATCATATTTTAGATATCTGCCTTTTACTCGTCTAGAACTCAATACTTGAAATGAAATGGATAGTGGTTTGGCTAAATACTGAATAACGGATATTCGGCAACTTACGCACAGTATATTCGGCCCTTAATCGTGTTACACGACGGGGTCAGTTTGATATGTATATAGGCACGGTGAACGACATCCGAAATATCCGAAATATGCGCGTTCGTACGTAGCGTAGCGTGTTGTAGTTCATGACAGTTTGTGTTTCCCAGTTCGCTTGTTTAATTCATTTGTAGATCCTACATACCCCGGCATACGTAAAGAAACGTTCAGTCCTTATTGTCCTAAACTTACTTTACTTCTATATTTTATTAATTTTACCATCTGTCATCCGGCTATATACTAAATGGGTACCAGATATCCCTTTCATCTCTTCTCAGTACTATTTCATATTCTGACGTTTTCCTGACGCGCACTCTCTGTTTATAGGTCTAACTGTTTATCAGCTGATCATACTAAGGCTACATGTAGTGTTTCCCTGGGAAGTCCAGGTTATCCAGTCGTTTGTAAACTTCGAGCATGGTCGGTCGATCGCCGCGGGAGTACTTGGTGCAGTGGACACCGATGGCCACAAACTCGCGACACAGTTCTGGGTTCGAGTGCGGTGTACCTTGCAACAGACGATCTTCCAGGGTTGCTGGGGAGTCAAATGATTATATTGTAATACAGTATTTTGACTCTGCATTAATCATTACAGAGTAATTTATTTATTATATAATTAGTTTGTATCTATAATAATCAATATAAAAAAAATTCACTTATTAGTTCAGCTAGCCACTTCAGTTGCGAAGAACTGGAAAGAAACTAATCTAGTACATTTTCTATAAAGCTGCTTTTTAATACAGCTTGTATGTTAATCAATTTATAATTATATTACATACAATGATTCTGGTCAAATTTACTGTATGCAATGAAGAACGTATGAAAGGAAACATTAGTAACTGTTGTCGGATTTATGACAAGGAAGTAATATTACATTATAGCCCAAGAGCCCACGACTGCCAGACATACGTCATTTTAATAAACGTGAAAGTTCTTGTATGTGTGTCCCCAACACAGGTAAGAACGATCCCCAAATATGAAACCTGAATCGTGGTTCCTTTGGCAGGTACCAGGTAACAAAGGTGTAAAAAAAATCATACCAAATTCGTTATTTTAAGAAACTCCATATTTTCATATATAGATCGTAGCACTAATATAACTTGCGCTGCTCATAGCCAGACACGTAGTGTGGTTACCCCCCGCCGGACCCCCCCTAAACTATACTATTTTAGAAATAAACTTACGTCATTTTAATAAAGCTGAAATTTATATATATTATTGAGAGTTCTCTCAAACTGAGTATCCTAAATTGCCAGACAGTTTTCTTGGTTCCTTATCATACCAGACTCATTGAAACCGTATATTGGATAAAAAAGGTGTATACAATTTCATACCGAATTCGTTATGAAAACGGGGGAAGGGGACTATTAGTAGTGGATTCTATGGATCATTATGATTTTAAGATGCTCCATTTTTTCACATATTGCTCGTAACAGTATTATAACTTGCTCTGATCGTTGTCGAACCAAGAAAACTGTCTGGCAATTTAGGAAACTCAGTTTAATAGTTCTCTCAATAACATATATAAAGTTCAGCTTTATTAAAATAACGTAAATTTATTTATAAAATAGTATAGGTTGGGGGGGTCCGGCGGGGGGTTGGAACCACACTAAGGGTCTGGCAACGAGCAGAGCAAGTTATAATACTGTTACGAGCAATATGTGAAAAAATTGAGCATCTTAAAATAACGAATTTGATATGAAATTGTATACACCGTTGTTACCCAATATACGGTTTCAATGAGTCTGGTAGGATAAGGAACCAAGAAAACTGTCTGGCAATTTAGGAAACTCAGTTTAATAGTTCTCTCAATAATATATATAAGGTTCAGCTTTATTAAAATGACGTAAGTTTATTTATAAAATAGTATAGTTTAGGGGGGTTCGGCGGGGGGTTGGAACCACACTAAGGGTCTGGCAACGAGCAAAGCAAGTTATAATACTGTTACGAGCAATATGTGAAAAAATGGAGCATCTTAAAATAACGAATCTGATATGAAATTGTATACACCGTTGTTACCCAATATACGGTTTCAATGAGTCTGGTAGGATAAAGAACCAAGAAAACTGTCTGGCAATTTAGGAAACTCAGTTTGAGAGAACTCTCAATAATATATATAAATTTCAGCTTTATTAAAATGACGTAAGTTTATTTATAAAATAGTATAGTTTAGGGGGTCCGGCGGGGGGTTGGAACCACACTACGTGCCTGGCAATGAGCAGCGCAAGTTATAATAATGCTACGAACAATATGTGAAAAAATGGAGCATCTTAAAACAACGAGTTTGACATGAAATTGTATACACCGTTGTTATCCAATATACGGTTTCAATGATTCTGGTATTATAAGGAACCAAGAAAACTGTCTGGCAATTTAGGAAACTCAGTTTGAGAGAACTCGATTCTTCGCTCATATATATTGTCACGGGAATAATATATATATGATTGTTTTAGTATTTTCCATTTATTAAAATGACGTAAGTTTATTTCTAAAATAGTATAGTTTAGGTGGGTCCGGCGGGGGGTTGGAACCACACTAAGGGTCTGGCAATGAGCAGAGAAAGTTATAATACTGTTACGAGCAATATGTGAAAAAATGGAGCATCTTAAAATAACGAATTTGATATGAAATTGTATACACCGTTGTTACCCAATATACAGTTTCAATGAGTCTGGTATTATAAGGAACCAAGAAAACTGTCTGGCAATTTAGGAAACTCAGTTTGAGAGAACTCTCAATAATATATATAAATTTCAGCTTTATTAAAATGACGTAAGTTTATTTATAAAATAGTATAGTTTAGGGGGGTCCGGCGGGGGGTTGGAACCACACTACGTGCCTGGCAATGAGCAGCGCAAGTTATAATAATGCTACGAACAATATGTGAAAAAATGGAGCATCTTAAAATAACGAATTTGACATGAAATTGTATACACCGTTGTTATCCAATATACGGTTTCAATGATTCTGGTATTATAAGGAACCAAGAAAACTGTCTGGCAATTTAGGAAACTCAGTTTGAGAGAACTCTCAATAATATATATAAATTTTAGCTTTATTAAAATGACGTAAGTTTATTTACAAAATAGTATAGTTTAGGTGGGTCCGGCGGGGGGTTGGAACCACACTAAGGGTCTGGCAATGAGCAGAGCAAGTTATAATACTGTTACGAGCAATATGTGAAAAAATGGAGCATCTTAAAATAACGAATTTGATATGAAATTGTATACACCGTTGTTACCCAATATACGGTTTCAATGAGTCTGGTATTATAAGGAACCAAGAAAACTGTCTGGCAATTTAGGAAACTCAGTTTGAGAGAACTCTCAATAATATATATAAGGTTCAGCTTTATTAAAATGACGTAAGTTTATTTATAAAATAGTATAGTTTAGGGGGGTCCGGCGGGGGGTTGGAACCACACTAAGGGTCTGGCAATGAGCAGAGCAAGTTATAATACTGTTACAAGCAATATGTGAAAAAATGGAGCATCTTAAAATAACGAATTTGATATGAAATTGTATACACCGTTGTTACCCAATATACGGTTTCAATAAGTCTGGTAGGATAAGGAACCAAGAAAACTGTCTGGCAATTTAGGAAACTCAGTTTGAGAGAACTCTCAATAATATATATAAATTTCAGCTTTATTAAAATGACGTAAGTTTATTTCTAAAATAGTATAGTTTAGGGGGGTCCGGCGGGGGTTGGAACCACACTACGTGTCTGGCAATGAGCAGCGCAAGTTATAATAGTGCTACGAACAATATATGAAAATATGGAGTTTCTTAAAATAACGAATTTGGTATGATTTTTTTTACACCTTTGTTACCTGGTACCTGCCAAAGGAACCACGATCCAGGTTTCATATTTGGGGATCGTTCTTACCTGTGTTGGGGACACACATACAAGAACTTTCACGTTTATTAAAATGACGTATGTCTGGCAGTCGTGGGCTCTTGCTCTATTACATTATTTCATCAGAGGACGAGGTCATCAGATAAGATAGATTTAAAAATACATTAAATCAATAAAAAACACATTACCCACCACCACATGGTGGTGGGTAATGTGTTTTTTATTAGAGCAAGAGATATATAGCAAGAGCCCACGACTGCCAGACATACGTCATTTTAATAAACGTGAAAGTTCTTGTATTATTGAATTGAATTTAATACAGTTTTGTTTACTGTTGTAGTCTGTGGTCAAATTGAGAATAGATTAATATTGTTTGTCTTTAATATTATTTGTATATAATCTTAAACTATCGTAAATTTATTATTGTCAAATTCGACCATTGGGCGATTTGTCTATTGAATGTTAAATTAATAGTAGTAGTAATAGTATTTTTATTGAATGTTAAATTAATTATGGTCGAATTTCGATCACCAGTAAATAAAATTTCACTGTCAAATAGTATAAAATTATAACAGAAATATTGACAGTAACTAACCATAGTCAATCCCATCCCTGGCCTGCTGCTGTATCCAGACGCTGAGGAGTTGGACTGGCCGCTTGCGATCGATAGACGCGAGACAGCTGGCCACTTCCACCATCACCACTCCATAACTGAACACGTCCACCGCTGGCGAGAGACACCGGGATCGTAGATACTCGTCCGGAAGGTATGGTCGAGTGCCGTGTACCCTGAGACGAATTAATCTTATATATAAAATTCTCGTGTCAATGTTAGTTACCATACTCTTCCGAAATGGTTTGACTGTTTTTTATGAAATTTTATATTCATATTGAGTAGGTCTGAGAATCAGCTACTATCTATTTTTCATATCCCTATATTTTTTAAACCCTAGTTATAAGGGTTGTTGTTTTTTTACAGATTTCGAGTGTAAAGCTTACCTGGAGACCTTCAAGTGTGTTCTCTCCTCTCCGTAGGGCCCCTTCCTGGCCAACCCGAAGTCACCGATCTTCGGCATAAGACACTGATCCAGCAGTATATTCATGGGCTTTATATCACCATGTATAAGAGGCGTGCCGGTCATAGTGTGCAAATATTGCAAACCTCTGGAATTAGAATACATATTATCTACATAAAGAAATACCAATTTCTGAATGTATGTAAATATCATTTCAGAACTGTCTCTATTTCCTTTTTTCTAACTAATTCTAAGAACAAGGTTGTTGTATTAAAGGAAGTTCTTAATAACACGTACGGAAATGTGAACAATATCGATTAAATCTCTATATATAAAAACTATATTAAATAGATATTTCTCTATAACAAATGCTACATAATAAATAATATAAGAAATGACATTTTAGTTCACTATACCTGGCAACCCCATGGGCTATCCGGTATCGTTGCGACCACGTGAGCGGGGGATAATGTGACTCTGACCGCAGTCTCTGTTCTAGGGAACCACAAGCCATATATTGGTAGACCAAACACGCTTCAGCGCCTGTAAGTAAAAGGATATATTTTTACAGTACAATAGTATTGCTTAATCCTTATTAATATTACAAATGCGCGCTTTCACGCCAAAACTACTGACCAATTTAAATGAACTTTGGTACACAGTTAGTCCAGTAGGGATAATAGTAATGAATAAATAAACGCTTACCTCCAAAACTGTATGCGTAGAGCGGCAGTATGTTATCATGGCGGTACTGGTTGAGGCAAAGTTCTCTGATCAATTCGCGATTCCGAGCATCTGTATCGCGGAGTCGTTTAATTGCAACCAATGAGTTCAGCCATACTCCTGTAAGATTATTATAAACCTTGCATATATAATAAAATAATAATACATAAATACAATTTAAATAAATAAACCTGGACAATTTGCATAAAAAAAAATAAACGGTACAATCCCATCCTCATCCTTTTTTCTAAATTGGTTACGTGTTAATAATAGAAGTCAGTTGGAAAATCTTGTGAATATCTTTATTTTTTGCACTGCGACCTACATAGATCTATTTTGCTCGCGGTTTTTCAGAGTTCGCTACCTAGACCCGTCAGGGACAAGAATTTACGGATAATCTTAGGAGCGATGATTTTTATCTCCTCACAATATAGTGTAAACTATTCAAAGTAGATATTTCGTCTATGTAAATGTAGACCAATCACATAGCATGTATGTACATATCGAATTGTTTGTAGGGACGTTTCCTCTTCAGCTTGTCAATATTTTCAGACTATCGTTGTGCACAGGCTTTTTTTTAACAATCCTCATGGAAACCCGCCCGCCCCTAGGGAGACAAATACTGCCAGACCCTTCCGGCTAAAACTCCAAGGTGTTCCTTCTCTTAACCATTTGACAGAGTTACGGTAATACGCAAGCAATATTGTACAGGCCTAGGTTTGCCATTTTATTGTGAATACCTTTAAACACCTGTCCAAATCCACCGCGTCCTAACAGGTTGGCGTCACTCCAATTGTCTGTGGCCGCTTTCAGGTCGTCATACTTGAGCATTGGTATCATTAGTACGTTGCGCATGATTTCGTCCTTCACATCGTTAGTTCTATCGTCTTGTGTTGATGATACAGTCTGGAAAATAATTTATTTTTATTTATGCCATGTTTTGTAAGTTTGTATCGCTAATAGTTGAAGGGTGTAAAATTTTGAATTTTATGTATATAAAACAAAATTGGGAAGGACCACCTTTATCACTTTTATAAAAAATAAATAACCCATACTAGAATTTTTTTGAGTGGTAAACTATGATGGCCCGAAGGTCAATGAAATTTGGGTCGATCGGTCAAGCTATTTCGGAGGAGTATCTTTACAAAGAGTGTAATTCTGATTCTAAGATCGCTCTGCGCAATAAATAAAATAAGTTTATTTTGTGTGTTTTTCATGTAATTCATACGGCAAACAAGTTGATAACTAACTATACAAAACATTCACAGGTATATATACAAAACCGCAAACGCTCACCTTACTAAGATCACTGGTTGAATCATCAGTCGGCGAGTTGCCATTCAATCCATTGCTCGACGTCGGCGGCGCGTGGTTCACATGTATACCCTGTACAGGAAAATGAGAATTCTTGGAAATTACCACTACTATGTCACAATCTTATTAATATTACAAACGCGAAAGTTTGTGCGTATGGATGGACTCTTTCACGCAAAACTACTTAACGGATTTTGATGAAACTTTACAATAATATAGCTTACATATCAGAATAACACATTTATGTATACATATATAAGTAAAATTGGAGTGTCTGTTTGTAAAATTGAAATAACCGTTTGTTACATGCATGTAGCATATTAATACGGTACATACACAAAAATAACATTTTTTACAATTTTTGTCTGTCTGTCTGTTTGTTCCGGCTAATCTCTAAAATGGCTGGACCGATTTTGACGAGACTTTTATCGGCAGGTAGCTGATGTAATAAGGAGTAACTTAGGCTACTTTTATTTTAGAAAAATAAAGTTAAATTCCACGCGGACGAAGTCGCGGGAACAGCTAGTAGACAATAAAACTCAATGAATGCTCAACTTTGGCTTCAACATTTATTTGTATTCAAATTTGTTATGATAAAAATCTTATTACTATTGGATATTGTTAGTAAAAACTGAATAGTTCATTTGCATAATTCAAATATTCAAATAAGCGGCGAGTGAGTCACATTGGATGTTACAAGTGCGTCATCAGGTCAATCGGTTAAGGAAAGAGAAAAAACACTATTAGATTCTTATTTACCTACATTACCTACCTTAAACCGATTACAGTGAGGTACATTTTGTATAATATAATCATCTGAGTAGCTTTATTTTCAATTATTTCTGATACCGGTTTACTTTTTGAGGGTAAAACAAAAAAAATGCGCGCTCTGTCATTGTGTTCATTTTGCCATCTAGGTCGAAAATAATTAGACCTCTTCAAGCGATATGGAGCGGCTGACGGCCTTTTTCCTTCTGACTTTACATACGACTTTGCTTGCCAAAAGGCTGCCGACCGCAGTACTAAAGCACAAGAAGGCATTCTCGAAATACTCATATATAACAAACAGTTCGACAAAAATTAGGGCACTGTAATCTCATGGAATGACATATGGAGCGGCTGCAGGGCAACTTCTGCATGATTGACTTTAACTTCAGTGGGTAACGCTACGGGTTCGAACCTCAGCTCAAACTCATCATTTCGACCTCCATTGATCGAAATAAAACTTTGTATAGTTTTATTTCGAACAGTGGGGATCGGTATGCCAACTTTAAAAAAGTATTAGTGTGGGATTTGTTTTACATTATATAATTTACTATGCAATAACATTCGCGACATACCTTTTCAAAAACCGGCAACGGTATTGATGATTCATCTGTTTTCAATTTCTGTTTTTTTGCATTGTCTGTAAATAATAATTGAAACTATATTAGTCAGTAATATTATTTAATTACCCGTTAGTTCTAAACTAACAACTAGATAAGAGGTTCTCACTATGTTAAATGTAATATATCAAACAAACTATTTTTGATATTCATAAATCACACAAAGTTATAAATAAACCTAAATATTGTACACTAAAATGTGTACACTAAATATTATTTAAAAACAAACAATTATATATGTACACACATGTCATACTTTGTGGTTACTCGTACACATATAAACAAAGACAAAAAAGTGTTTTTAAAATTTTGTCTGTGCAATCTGATATCAAAAACAACTTAACGTATTTGAATGTAGTATTTACTAATGTGTAGCAGCAAGCATAACGTAAATTTTAGTGTTTATTGCTTTTTAATCGGTTCACAGACAAAAGTTTCAAACTCTTGTTATTCCTAATAAGTGAGGTACTGAAAGCGATTGTTTTTAACGGGGAATATAATAATATACCCCATTGCTAGCAATTTAGCATGTTAACTCGACTTCCACGCGGTCACCCCTGAGAAGCATCGTATTTAATTCCTGATGAATTTATCACGATGCGTTAACTTCCCTATCTCATGCTCATCCTAGGGATAAGAGGAATGATAGTAATAAATGTATAGAAGTAATGTGTCAGGTTGACCTCCACGCGGTTTCTCCTGGAAACCATCATGGTAAATTGCTATTTGCCAATATGGGTTAACTGACCGACTTCAAGCTCATTTTATCATGCACCACGGGTGCCCCGTCAGCGTCAACCGTTAACGCAGGTGGCTGCACTATCCCATGATCATGCATAAAAAATGCTCATCCTATCATCCTTTACTTTTGTTCCGCCAGCGTATATCTTTTTTGGTGCCATGTGCCACCCCATTCCATTATCAATTACTGAAAACATTGTATCGGGTACGTATAATTTTATACCTACCAATAAACGCAGTGCAGTCCTTTCCTCCTATACCATTCCTGCTAATTAGTTTTCTCAGAAGAGGTTGGTATCTTGCGTCCACTGCAGGAGTCAGAGACTGCATAGCGGGGACGTGCTTCATATAATACAGCAATATATACAACTCCTCCACTCGATGATTCAATTGTCCCCAACGAGTCAGCAACACTGACGTCGGAGAGATTGCCTGTCGTCGAGCTGATTGCTCAATTTCCTGACAATTTGGAAAAAAAGTATAATTGCAATGGCAAGCAACAACAGTACCACGGACATTACGTTATTATGAGACCCTATTACTGGAATGGCAACCAATGAGTTGCCATTTCACTACCATACTTCACTCTCCAGACGATATAGACTACAAAGCATATAGATTACGAATGCGGTTCGATGTAATCTGTAGAATCTACGCAGTGTTTATTACAACCGCATTTATTCTCATTCCATTTGAATTCATACACTATTCTATAACAGGTAAGATCTATAAATGTATATTTATATCGCACACCTAATACAATAATGGATTAACACAAAAATTATTTTTTTTTAATTTAACGTTTAACGTTAGAGTGGTTTTATGATATCTGCTTCACAATTGAGTCGCAAGATTTCACCCGAACCAACATAGTTACATCCTTTTTTTAGTGGAAAAATCTTCAAAAGCTACAGGGGATGGGATACACATCATCGCACACTCCTGGCTAGCTTTTGAAGATTTTTCCATACGAAAAAGGGGATTAAAAAATCATGTATTTACAATAGGGTTGTTGATCTTAAATTAATAAACTCAGGTTAATTCAGTTTTAAAACAGGACGTAGTGTACGTGAAAATAGGTGAAATGAAATTCAAGTAACTAAAATATTAGTATTATTTAATAATAATAATAATAAATAAATTTTATTTCATCTCCACAAATTACATAATTTTAGTTTTATTATATAATTGCTAACAAATAAAAATCACAAATATAATTTAATAAAATTATACCTGTGAAAACTATTTTATAAAATATAATTTAAATATCTAGTACGCTGCTTAATAACTATTCAGGACGTCCCAGGACACTACAAACAATAGGACATGTTTTTAGAAAACAGTACGGTTGCCAACTCTATCCTACGATCACCAGCCGGAGTCGCGACCTCACGTTAGCATTTAGCCGCGTTAGAACATATTATTATGTTACATTTTATGTTAAATAAAAGCTCGTAATAGCAATATGTCTATTTAATCTACACACTGATCGTAACTGATTTGAAATTGTAATTTTGGAAAATTCAGTATTGCGCAGTTTAGGACTGGTTAATACGTAATATGACCCGTCGTTCGCGTGGTTTCCACCTACATGCATGTTAACGCAATATCATATTGTGTAAGTATAAGATTGTAGAAAACTTGTATTATTAGCCGACTGCCAAAAGAAGAGTATATTGTATAATAAATGTAGGGTCATTTATTATACAATATACTCTTCTTTAATTCATAATTCAATCTAATCCCAAGCTCTGCTCAGCTTTTATCTACTATGTATACTGAAAAGCACACTTCTGTAATAACATTTCATAGAAAAACATCGCGACTAATTTCAATAGAATAACCGTTTGAATTTTGTAGGAATTGAACCTGTGACGTCACGCGTTACGCGTTTTTTAATGACATTCGTTTCGATGATTCATTTTTAATTGGATATTTTATTCCCGCTTTGGGACTTTTTTTTACAAATTGCTTATATTTTCATGTTTAGTATACCTATTCTACCTGTAATAAGTACTGAAGAGGTTTTGATGACCCTTTTATAATTGATAGATATTGCACCAGAGTCCATGTTATACTAAGTCACAATTGAATTGCTTATATAGTAAGCATTTTTAGCATTTTCTAAATACACATAGTAAACACACTACTTAGTTTTGAACTAGACGGCGTTGTATGCATTATCCTGGGTTAATTTAAAAAAAAAATGGTAGTATTAAAAATTTGTGACTAACCTTACCTCAGTGGCTTATACCTACATAAAGACAAATTGTTTTAAAGCAAAAAAACGTAGCACATACAATAACAAGTTGAACTGATTGAGGAAAATTTGTGGCGGCCGACGCATCGCTACTTAAACTGCGTCAATCCTTCATTGCGTCCTATATTTATAACCGATCATATACCTTTTGTTTCTTTTTTTTCGAACGGACTAGACCAAGTATTTATGAATGTGGTCGATTGATTTTTATCTATGCTACGTATATATTTATAAGTTAAGTTATAGGCTGGGTCAATGTGCTACGGTTGAGTGCAATGATGGCTCGCTAGATTCGTCATACTCGTGAACGATAATAAAATACATTTTTGCATATATTTACAATTTCCTTTGGAAAGAATAAAAGCTTAAAAAAAGAATAAAAAGATGTTCTTGTTCCACGTGGACAAAGTCACAGGCTCAGTTAGTTTAATACCATCTTACTAAATCATTATTAAAACAAATATTCAATCTGTTAACTAAAGTCTTAAAAATATTTCTAACAAGAAACGAGTTCATAAATACTAGTTTTACTAGTGCATTGCAAAATATGTGATGACGCATTAGGGAGGTGAAAGTCACACAAATAATACCAACTGTGACAATACTGGTGAACAGGTAAAATCATGAAATTGTTATGACATAATTTATAGTTGTACCTAATAAGAAATAATGGGCTTTTTTAGAGAATTGCAATAGAAAGATATGCAAATGACCTTGGCAAAAGTTGAACATCTAGAAGCCACAGTATATTAATGGTGAAAACATTTACTTATTTTTGTAATATACAAATAATAATAATAAAAGCCTTTATTATTATTTTATACAAATAATATAAAGTTTATTATACTTTGGACCTCGCACTAGACAAATCTGTTTTGCGGGAGTTCACAAAAGCATTGCTAGATATTAATAACTAATACAGATCATCGAATAGAGTAGATTTGACATATCACAAGGGCTTTTCTATGACAGATGTAAATCACACATACACACATCTTTTTTATAATTTGTTAATATTTTTTCTAGTAACTAAAAGTAATTGTAGGAAAGAAATCAGTAGTTTTTAGTATTGGTCGATATTAGAAAAAAGCTAAAAGAAAATAGCTCTAAGTGTAAGTTGAACATTAATCAAAATAACATATATGATAGGGGGAAGAGGATTATTAGTAACATGGATTAACAACCCCATTGCTATCAACATACCATGTCAGGTTGACCTCAATGCAGTTCCCCCTTGAAACCACCACAGTGAATTTGCCACAATAGCTAACTGACCTGACCTCATACACATCCACCGCTGGTGCTCCACCAACATATACCATTAGCGCAGGTGAGCGCAATCCATTATCATCTCTTTAAAAAACAGTCATGGCAACCATATAGAGCACATTATAGAGTATACTGTAAAAACCATACCTCATATGTGATAAAGTATTAAGATTTCATAAAGAGTAATTTTATTGATTTTTCCAGTCTGTACACTCAAATAGGTTAGATTAGTAATGACAATTGATATTGTCTGTAAAAAAAAATCATTTGTCTATTAGTAGCAGTGGTTCAGGGGTTTTGCACACTGCTTTATGATCACAAAGATGATTATGGGCTTAATTGCTTGCATATTTCTAAACAATAAATGTATCTAAGTATTTCTATCAGTTGTCTATTACCCATAACACAAGCTCTGCTTGGCTTGAGTCTAGATGGCACTGTGTCAATTGTCCAGTGATATTATTATTATATTAAGTAACTATACAGTAGATATGTAATTTTATTTTTATATCAGGACTTAGACATATATTATTTAAGATATATTTCAAAAATATATCTTAAAATAATCCCAGAGCTGAATCATTTGTAGGTTTTCATGTTTATATTCGCAAAAAAATATAGGCAGGACTATAAATGATAGTAATTCTATTAAAGTAAACAAACAGATAGGATTTCTGTGAATGATTGCGATACTCAGGTATTATGAAACAGTTTTATTTATTACAAGTCTGAACAAATTAACAAAATAATGGGGTTACTGTCACCTTTTGCACTACAAATTGGTATTCCCAATAAACTGGTTATAGTAACGTAATGTAAAGCGTTGGGATGTGGGAAAGCCCACGGCAAAATATTTTAAATACTCACATTTACTTCAAAAGCGGTGTATTTCATATGAATACCAGCCAATTCTTTCCAATCATCATCATTGTCAAGTAACCTACACAATTCTCTATTAACACCAAAGGGTAGATCGTAGATATACATTTTTTTGCAATTTTTCCTGTACAAAATACAAACGAAGAAGTGAACACAAACAAAAAGCGTAGTTAAAAAATTAATTGTTTTTTTATTAATAATATGTTTTAAGGCTCTGGATACAAGTCCTTTTTAGCCCAATCTCGAAGTTTTACAATACATGTTACAAAAATTAAAGTCAATGTCCGATATATGTCAATTAGAATTGTTTCGTCTGTCATTTCTCTGTTCTAACAAACTTATCTAAAAAATTCTTTGCATGGCATGTCATATTACTCTTTTCAAGTGGGAAACAGTGAATCAAAATAAAGAATAAAATAAAATGAATCAAATTACATTTGTACAATTGTAAATTCATTCACAGAGTCTGAGTAGTAACAGATAAAGTACTAGTATGTACTAGTTAACAAACCAAGTAACAAAGAATACTCGTTACGTTACTTTTGATATAACGACAGTGCACTATTTTTTTGAACCGTAATTGTTTTTATTTATGAACCGATGATAATAAATATATGATATATCTTGTTCTTTTAAGACCGCAACCTTTTCTTTTTAAGCAAAATTTACAATGCCTGGAAATGGTAAAAATATCCTATGTAAATAATTTTTTTAAAACTATTTAAGGAACTAGAATTAATAATGCTACAAGCTGGTAAGTTCGCCATTTATAAGTAATATACAAGTACTATGTATGAAGAATATAAAAATAACAACATGCACCGGATACTGTTCCGTTGCTGGTACGACACCTACCCGTACCAGTTGTTTTGTTCTCAATATAGCACTGATTCAATTTTACCATAGCTAAATATATAGATCATTCATTAATTCATCCTTTATGCTGTATGAATTTTTTTTATTAAATTCGTTTACGGCATTGAATAATCTTTAACAAATAATCTTATTTACTTCACTTATTTGTGAATATTATGTTACCTGTTGTAGTAAAAATAGTTTTAATAAACACCTTAGAGAACGCTTTATAGAAATTAAAAAATTCAATTAAGTCACAATCTTTTTAATTAAAATTTTAATTTTGTATACATAGCAAGTCTGCAGCACATTGTAAAAATTGATGATACTGTTCATTTCTGGCTAGGCACATTTCTGTACTCAAATTTGTTTATTTTCAATCTTACCGTAATTGCGTAAAGTTTAAGGTTGTATAGCAAATTAATTGATGTCTGAAATATGCACCATATTCCTTCTGCAACAATATCTAAAAACTGTAATAAACTTGCCATAAGAAAAAAAACATTACTTTTTGAATGATTGGAAACTGTCTCCTTGACTGATCAGTTCTTGTCATTCTGTTGGATCAGTCACCTTCAGTTAATGATTGTAATTTGTAACCATTCTAGAACTCGTTTTCTTTCTTGACGTTTTTGTCATTAATTTTTTAATAAATTTTAATTTAATTTTTTAATTTTTTAAGTTTTTGTTGTAATTTAGTTTAATTACATTTTGTCTTGTGTCCTATTTCATGAATTGACACATTAAAATATATTAAAAGTATGTGTCTAAACATACTTTTTTTTAGACTACTCTAATGCTGTTGGCTGCAGCCTTTACAGCTACACCGGACGATTCTAAGGATGACAATAAATGTAATTATCTATAGCTGGTGCAGAATTATCAATAAAATCCTATTTGTAAACATAATCTAAGACGGCGAGGATACGAATCATAAAAATTATAAAGTAATAAACTTAAAATTATAAATTACGTAAATAAAATTTCAATACAAAATAAAGGCTACCCGCTCTGGATTTGCACGGGTTTACATCTATTATACATAATCCTTACTTTTTAATCACAGCTAAAACAGCATTAAAATTCATTGCGTAATTTAAAAGACTTAAGCGAATAGACAGTGGAAGCGACTTAATTTTATACTATGTAAAGATTTTAAAAATATCACTACTAGTGCCTAGCGCGCCCGGGCGCTCCACACCGGCGCGGCGCCCCTCCGATCGATCCCCCGTCCAATTCAAACGGGGATCGATATTACGACGGCCGGAGCCGAGGTCGAACAGTCGAACCCCTAGTGCTGCCCTCAGACTAAAGTCGTATCCGTCCGGCAGGACTTGGCTTTCAGCCGCTCCATAAGTCCTTCCGCGGGTTTGAATTGCATTTACACATCTCTATCAAATATTTCAATTTTCTAATTTCCATTGGATTGAAATCTTAAGGAATTTAGAAAATTAAGTATTACATGGAACATTCATAGTTGACAGTATAATCTTATATATAAAATTCTCGTGTCACAATGTTAGTCGTGTCATAATGTAGACAAACCCTAGTCCTCTGAAACGGCTTCACTGATTCTTATGAAATTTTATATGTATATTCAGTAGGTCTGAGAATCGGCTACTATCTACTTTTCATACCCCCAAGTGATAAGGGTTGTCCACCCCTAACATTTTTTTTTTTGGGCAAAACTTTATTTTTCATTTTTTATGTATGTGTCATTAAAAATACATACAACCCTGAATTTTCACCCTTCCAACCCCTATTTTTTTTATAGCGATTTTAATTTATATGGCAAAACAACGTTTGCTGGGACAGCTGTCCCGGTTAGTCTATATAATTAACTATTTACCTACCCATATGTATTGTACTCGTAGTTCTTATATTGATAGATAGAATATACCTACTTTATTTTCAACATACAGTAAAGCAAAGACATAAACAATATAGGTATGTATAGTTACAATAAGGCGGTCTTATTGCTAAAAGCAATATTTTCAAGGCAACTTTACGGAAACGGATCGGATTTAAACCGAATAGATAATATGCAAACAGAGAATAGTAAAAATAACAAACATATATATCCTTACTCCTTACTAATATTATAAATGCGAAAGTAACTCTGTCTGTCTGTCTCGCTTTCACGCCAAAACTACTGAACCGATTTAAATGAAATTTGGTACACAGATAGTCTAGACCCTGAGAAAGGACATAGGCTACTTTTTAATGCGAAAATAGGGTTGTAGGGGGTTGAAATTGGCGATGAAAGATTGTATGGAAGAATCGTCATTTTTGAAGCTAGAAGATTCAAACTTATTTTTGAGGCTGCTAATTAAATATAAATAAATATGTCATACAAAGTTTTTAAAAATTTTACCCTTAAGGGGGTTAAATAAGTTAGGGAATATTATTTTATAAGGGGTTGAAAGAGTTATGTATGGAAGTGTCGTCATTATTGAAGCAAAAAGGATGAAACTTTTTCATTTGGCATTTTGTTGATGCGTTGTGCGATATCGCTACTGTCACTACCACATTCTAACGCAGAAATGGAACGAGTTTTCAGTCAAATCGCATCTAGTTAAAAACAAACTTCGCAACCGTTTATCAATAAAAACTCTAAATGCCATTTAGTAAATCAGATTCGGTCTAAACATGGAAGAGCATCTATATGTATCATGAAGAATTACAGTTTCGACAAGGAAGCTTCCACATCCAAATCAGCAGCATCATCCGTCGAAGATGAAGATCAAGATATTAATATCTTATTTGAAAACACTTGATTAAAACATAAAAGTTTAGATTTTCTTAATTATTAAAGATTCACATTTTTTTTATTCATCAATTTAGGAAAGGCAAAGAATCTAAGACCATACATCCAAAAGATTCACAATTAAATGACGTTTTATTTGACATTGGAAAATGTTGGCATAATTTTAAGAGCAATTTAAGCATATTTTGTAGTAGAGCGTGTTGGCAACACTGGTTTTCAAGGTAATTTCTTATCACACATATTTACTTCTGTGTTCTTTGATTATATATGATTTCCCACTACGGAGAGTCTGACAATTGTGACAAAGACGAAGCGGAAGGGGGTCAAGTAACTTATGAATGGCAACTTATCTAGAAGTCATTAGACTGTGTTCCTTCGGGAAACAGATTTACCTACTAACATTAAAGAAATATTTGTCTCTGAACCGATTGGAATGCAATAAAGTTTCTGCTGGTTTCTGCTAAGCTTGCTGCTACACAACAGTGAATACTGCATTCGTCTTGGTTAAGTTCTTTCTGATATTAGCTTGCACAAAATTTTAATAACTTTTTTTGGCCTTATGTATGTGCTACCATAAATATGATATGTGTATATTTAGATTCTACATTAAAATTTGTTTGATATAGCAGGCACCAGTGTTTCAATTCCTAAAATAGCTACTGCAGAAGCTGCTAGATATTTTAAACATGAACCAACGTCATCAAATACATACATAAAATCCCCAAAGACGGTAGAGAAGAGATTGGCATTAAAGCAAAGGTGAATAGTCTAAGAATATTTTTATCATAATTTACAAAGCAGTATATATTTTAATATTACAATAAAACCTTAAACTTGTTCAATATGTCTATTGAAGAAATTTAACTATGTCTAATAATATTAAATACTTTCTACTTTTTTCCTCATAAATGTCAGGTACAATAATCATTAAGTTATATAGCTTGTATAATTGTTAGGAAATACGTAAACATTTACATGAATAAGATAAATAATCTAAAATAAATAAAGAGCACTGCTTATCCTAAAGTACAGGGTTACACCTTATTTTTAAGGATAAAATGCAACATTGTATTGTGCTGTCAATATAAATAAATAAAAATAAGTAAAGAACACGGGTTTTGTTTATCATTTTATTTATTCAATTCTTTGCATGAATTTTAAATATTTGACCTTCAGGGATAACTAGCAATCCTTGGCCAGCCATCAAGATTTCTGTCATGTTTTTGTGTTCAGTTCATAATCCAACTCCAATGGCTGTTCATCAATTTCCAGTGAGGCTACCAAATTGTGATTGTTAGTGAGAACGAGAGAGAGAGGCGACTGCGGCGTGGAGCTGTAACAGTATATTGTATAATAAAAAAAGTAATATTACAAATTACAATCTTCCTTATTTCAGACTATAATCATATGGTCGAAGATAATTTTTTTTCAATAACTTTGTATATAAAATTTACATGCAACAAAATGCGAATTTAATGCTAGACGTATTCTTTACCAATATGACGTTCGGTAAATACAATGATCATTTCGCAACACTGTTATATATAATGACAACC